GGGCTTTGACGAGTACGTCGTTGCCTATGCCAGCCGCACCCTCAGTAAAGCCGAGAAGAATTACAGTGTAACTGAAAAGGAGTGCCTCGCCATTATTTGGGCAATCGGAAAATTTCGGCCTTATTTATATGGACGTCCATTTGATATTGTAACAGACCACCATGCGCTTTGCTGGTTATCTTCACTAAAAGATCCTAATGGTCGGCTCGCTCGTTGGGCATTGCGGTTACAGGAGTTTGATATCCGTGTTATCTACCGTTCTGGCCGGAACCATTCCGACGCCGATGCCCTGTCACGTTCGCCATTGGCTTCAGAGCCAGTCGGCTCGCCTATCTGTGCTGCCTTGGCCATCAGCATCTCGGACATGCCTTCCGAGCAGCGCAAAGATGCTTGGATTTCTTCTCTTTTGGACTTTCTCTCAAACCGGACGCCCGCTCCAGTTTCCAGGACGCTTCGCCGTCAAGCAGGACACTTCGCTATTCGGGATAACCTGCTTTACCGCCGAAACTACAGCTCGATCGGCCGTAAGTGGTTGCTCGTCATCCCCCGACATCTGCGCTCTGACATCTGTGGCACGTTCCACGATGACCCGCAATGTGGCCACGCTGGTGTGTTAAAAACATACACCCGCTTGCAGCTGCGGTACTACTGGCGCGGTATGTACCGTTTCGTTCACCGTTACGTAAGGTCTTGCCTTACGTGCCAGCGACGCAAAATGCCCACTCAACATGCCACAGGTCCCTTACAGCCGTTGCCATGTCCAGCACGAGCTTTCGATCGTGTCGGAATTGACCTTTACGGTCCGCTTCCCTATACTTAGAGTAGCAACCGCTGGGTCAATGTCGCTATCGACCACCTAACGCGGTACGCTGAAATAGCTGCGTTACCTTCTGCTACCGCAAAAGACGTTGCGTGTTTTATACTGCAAAACCTGGTTTTAAGGCAGGGAGCACCTCGGGAGTTACTAAGCGACCGTGGCCGCGTTTTTCTCTCCGATGCCATCAAAGCGTTGTTAAGCGAGTGTCGCATCATACACCGCACTACCACAGCCTATCACTCGCAAACTAATGGGATGACAGAGCGTTTTAATCGTACACTTGGGGATATGCTGGCCAAGTATGCTTCATCCGACCAGTCAAATTGGGATAGCATACTGCCTTTTGTGAGATATGCTTACAACACTGCAACGCAAAGCACCACTGGATTTTCGCCTTTCTTCCTTCTTTGTGGACGCGAGCCATCATCAACAATGGATACCATTCTTCCTTATCGACCGGACCCTTCAGAGATGACTACCGTTTCTCGAGCAGCAGCACACGCTGAAGAATGTCGGAAGCTTGCTCGTGCGTTCACGTCACATGACCAGACGCGCCAAAAACATCGCCACGACGCGTCAACCACGCATATGAGCTTTGCTCCGAACTCACTGGTGTGGCTATGGATTCCTTCTACTACTCCAGGACTCTCCCACAAGCTTTCGTCCAGGTACTATGGCCCTTATCGAGTTGTACGCCAAACATCGCCTGTCAACTACCTTGTCGAGCCGCTGGATGCATCTCCGGACAAGCGCCGTCGGGGAAAAGAAATCGTACACATCTCTCGGCTCAAGCCATACTAAGACCCTTCTGTCTACACCTGTCCTTAGGTCGCCAGGATGGCTCCCTCATCGGCCGGGGGTGATTGTAACGAGGGCAGTGGGCATGGAGCTCGAGGACAGAAAAAAGAAGAAGACTTGCTGTGATCGCAGGCTTGCGTTCAGTTAGCCCTTGCGCTTAATAAAGCTCTCCTTCGCCGAGTCAACCCCTGCTTGTTCAACAACCCGTTTCAAATCCAGAAATTCTATTTCATTCGAGGTGGAAGGTTCCGATGCAGTAGGCGTTGGATTTGCCGGATGTTCCTGCTGCGGTGCTGAATTAGACACCTCTGCGGCGGCTTCTATTGTTTCACAAGACGTCTGATTGGTCATCGGTGCTACAGCTTTTGAGAGTAGTTGTGTCATCTGTGAGCAAAACACTTGCGAGACACATTCAGTTACAGTAGTTATTATCTGAGCCAACTCCTTCGATATTGCTTTTTAAACTGCTGGCTGAACAAGCTACAAAACTTTGACCTAATTTAATGACTCTTGCCTCGCAGCAACACCAGCATATCTGAAAGTCCGATCTTTGACAACAGCAATAGCTTCTCGTCGGGAACCGCCTATATCCATTATTCCTAGCGGCTGGATTTCGTTTGACCAAGCCTGACAATGCATATAATCAGCTGTATGGTCTCTTCCACATAGACAGCACTTTTCTATTTTAGCAATGCATTTATCGGGATGGTTAGCACTACAAGCTGGGCATGAGGAACCTGATTTGCAACCCCCTAAGCTGTGGCCGAAACGCCAGCAGTTTCGGCACTGAAGAAGAGGAGAACCTAGGCCTTCCACACGAATGATGAGTGTCCTTATTTTCAATATAGATGGGCAAGAAGTGTCGGCAAAGGTGACAATAACCAATTCTGTGGGAACTTTCTCACCATTCACTACGCGGTTACACCGGTATACGGCTATGGCACCAGCGCCCGACAGCTCCTCTAGAGTCTCGGTTGGTGACAATCAAGAGTCAACTCCTCGACCACGAACAAACGTAGGCTGCTTCATGTTTAGTCAGGTAAAATACTTCTGCGTAATCCAGTCCCACAGAAGAGTACCAGCAGAGTCTGTACATGCCCTTTGTACATGCCGAATGAGGCGTAATGAAAACACTCACCGGAACTGACGCAAATACCTAGCACTTTAAAAGGTCCGCAACAGATGAGGGATCTGACGATCTACATAGCACACCACCTCATCCAACCTGTCGAACGTCGCTTATCAATTGAAAATGCGATGTCATGGCCTGGACCTCCACCTGGACAGCTTTTTGGTTGTTCAGCCTCAAAAATCCTCCACTCGAAGAAGGTACCAGCGCAACAGGGATGCTGTTAACACCACTGCGAAAAAAGTATTCCAACGGTAGTTCATCATTAGGCAAAGAGGCTGACCAGGGACTGTGCCCTTGGCCAGGAGACGAATTACTCGTTGGCACGGTTGCAATCTTCTAAACGATAGTAATAAAGAACGCTCAAAAATTAACACCGGTCAAATTCACCCAAGACTCGGACAAACCACCGGTCAAAATTTCAGCTCAGCAGCCTCGAGATTAAGCACACTTGCTTGATACCCACTACAGCATTCTACATAAAAATATTTTGTGTAGTAGGCTGGCATTCGCTATGCTATTTTTTGCAGTTCTTCTGAGAATCGTGGTACCCAATAATCACTTGCCAAGAGTTTTGTGCCAACTGTTCATGCAGTGGCTAACGACGATGAGGAATTAAGCCTGAAAGGGGTATGTGCCACAGTAAATAGGGGAACAAGAACAAGCTTTTGTAATGGGTTGGAGCACTGGACGGCCCACTCGTTACGCTGTTCACATTGTGTGATGCCTGGTTGTCCTCTTGCTGTTCTAAAACGTTTTATTACTCATATTAACGCGATTCCTTTCCCGACATCAAGCCTGCCTAAGGCAAGTTTGCGAATAAATCCGAAGCGCCGGCGTGGCTCAATGGTAGAATACAGGACTGGCACCCAGCGGACCTGGGTTTGTGCCCCACTGTGTCGTTGGCACTAGGTTTTTTTTTCGAATTTCGTGCGTTGTGGTTACGGACACCGGTGGTGTCCGACAACTACGGTAGCACGTGACCCGAGTTTTGATATTATATCAGCTTTCGCTTAAACACGAGGAAAAAATGAAACCACGAAAACGAAGGCATGACTGTATCATGAACACGACGATGACAGAATGGACGCAGTAGTTTGTCAAATTGCATTGCGGAACTTTTTCATGTAAGTGGTGACAGTGTTCTGTGTAGCCGAAAGACTACTATTCTTTGATTATGAAGTTGAATTTGAGTTGTCATTTGTTTATGCTTTTTGCCATTACGTTGATACGCAGTTCATCTTCGATGCTGGTGTTCCAGGGGAAACACAAAAAATGTTGATAGAAGCATGTTTCCTGCGCGCGGAGTGATTATTATTCGCGGGAATGGTTTACGCTAATTGTGAGATAAACGTAGTGAGTTGAAAATCTTATTCAGTTATCCATACATGAAGGCTGTATAGCAAAACGCGTTCAAGGACAGCATGTAGTCTGGTACTTTCGAAAACTGAGAAAGGAACGAGTAGGGGGAAGGGGAGGGAGGTATGTGTACATATCACACAATATGCACACGAGCACTTCATTGGGTCTTTTAATTATTGAGATTTTTGATCTATGACGCTAAGAATGCCTGTACGAAATGTAGCTATTTCGTAAAAGAAATGAACGACTGCAGGCTGGCGAATGCAAATTGCATTGAGAAGCAGATCCTGATGCAGTACTTGAAGACCTGTTGTGATACCGGAGTGTCTTTGGCTTTAGCGGTGTTCCGTTGTACAATCTAATCCTCGAAGAACTCGATGTCGGTATGGAGGAACTGTTAACGCTATCAACATAAGACCGGCTCACTCACAACGAGAGGTGGTGAATCGTCGCGCTAGAATTATGTGTCGCACGGACCCTTTCCCAGACTCCTTATCAATCTCTCCGTCGTCTCTGGTGCGGGCTTGGTGTATACTGGGCTTCTAAGGAGCTGTTTTTACCTTTTTAACCTAAGCATCCGTCTAAAAGCGATCAACGCTCTTGTACTTTTCTCGCGGTCACCAGCAGATTCAGTTTCAAAAGTATGGCTTTAACATGTGTGCAATATATGCGCCTGCAGCTGGCTTAGCACCGATGCAAACGTTTTTGGACATGGTACTTATGAAAAGAAACTGCTTTTTTTACTGAACTACTTTCGTGGGGTATGTTACGGCATTAGCGAAGTACGGGCGACACACAATGGAAAGCTGATACGTGCCGCTTTTATCGCCATTCTCTGTCGAGTGACACACGTGGCCCGAGCTGGCCGCACCGATAAGCGCAGGAGTAAACTAACGCACGCTTGTACGAATCCGTCGTGTCAAACTTTTTCCCGATGAACTCCACCCCCTGAGGAACGGCGTGTCGCTGCTCCCAACATTGAAGAGTTTCCGCTGAACGAACAACGGTTAACATGAAATGGTTTCAGTAAGTCGCACTTTGCATTTGTTTGTTTTATGCAGAGGAAATTGCATCTTTAAGCAGTGTATTAAAGTATGCGACTCCGCTGTATCGAACAAGTTTGCTGCGGTGGTTTAGCGGTGGCGGTGCTCTGCTGCGGAACCGATTGTCGGGAGGTCCATGCCGGCCACGGTGGTCACATTGCGATGGAGGTGAAGTACTGTGCGATATTAGTTCACGTTTAAGAACACTGCATGGTTGAAAACTCCTGAGCCCTCTACTACCCCAGATAATACTGTGTATCAAACAAAATAATTATTTGATTTGTCGGGCTGGTACGCCTCACTTTGTCAGGTCTTTTTTTATCGAGTGCGCTTTGTGTTAGCAGATTTTTTTCTTTTAATAATAACAGGCGTAATTTTACGTCCCAGAACCTTGGTATGAGTTTTGGGAGACGCTGTAGCGGAGGTCCCCAAGAATTTTCAGCATGTGGTTTTCCATAACGTGTTCTGACATTGCACAGTACGTGGGCCTCTAGAATTTCTCATTCATCGAAGCCGTGACCTCCGCGTCTGCAGCTCAGCATCGTCATTGTTGTATGCATGAAGAGTGGTGAACACTTTTTGTTTCTTTCAAAAATGTGTTGGACCTTTTGGACGTATTACACGTGCAGGTGTTAATGCTACTCTGTATAGGTATTACTTATTTCTTATTATTACTATAGCTTTGTCATTTCAAATCAAGTTTACTTCCTTCTCTATACCAAGGCGTGACACGTCTGCAGTGAGGACACGTCACATTTAGTTTGAGTTGTCCTTTCATCAAAGTGAAACGATATTCAAAGACGAATACTGGCACGTAGCCCACGTCTAGTTCATGAGCTGAACTACAGAAATTTGAGCTTAGGTTACTTGCATTTTAATTTAGGAGTGCAGTAAACCAGGTCAGAGCGTATTCATTTGTTATGTTACAGCGCAGGTTCAGCGTTTGATTTATGAACCGGTTTCATGAACAATAATCTTCAGTTGATAGTCAGCGCTGTGTCTGTCTTATGTGTACCTTAGTAAGTTTTCTCATTCTTTTCGCGCTGTAACATAATAGAATCGTATTAACTGGAGAATTTGCAACTAATGATGAACAAAACTGCCATAATAAGCAACACGTGCTGTCATACGTTCACCGAATTGAAAATCTTTCAATTTATTTTTACGCAACGTCTTCTCAATGGCCAAAGTTGACAAGTGGGCAGAACTTCAGAACATTTCGTGGCACATTCCGAGTACACTCGTCTGTGCTCTTTACGTCGTTCGAATAATTACTTCCAAGGGGATACAACTTGTGCGATCATCTAAATAAATTTGGCAGTTCCTATGCAGGTTAAATGATGATTAGCGAAATGTTTTGAAGTTGTCGTCTATGTATTCTGATCTCTTCTTCCTAAAATGATCATGTTCTAGAAATATCCAGTTAATATTTAGAATTGTGATATATATTGTACTATTGGCAGTGATTTTTTAACGTGTTGTTGTCTGCATGAAAAAAAAGGAAGAATAAAGTATACGTAACAGATGAACATTCTTAGCGAGGCACGTACCACGCGTTACTAAACCATCTTCTGCTCTAGTAAATTTTGTTTCGGGTACTTAGGAGCGCTCGCCAAAAAACATGAGATTGTAACTGCATAGCCAGTATTTCTTCAATGTGAAGATTACAACGTACGTTATGACCAAGTCATATAAAGAAAAAATTACGCAGCACGCTTATGAAGTTGTAAAATTTATGCTCTTACAGTACGTAACAGTCTAGCGCAGTGGTTTTCAGCCATGGATTTTTCAAGGAACCCTTATGGATCAGTGTAAGTGATAAAAGAGCTCTTGCAGGGAGAGAAAGAAAAAAGAAAGCGGTGGGCAGGGAGTCAAAAGTAGCAGCACATGCAGCATGAAATGGGTTTATTTGGTTTCTCCCTGGCAAAGAAATGACAAACTAAAGAGCCACGCCACTATTTGGTGTTATACTTCTTGCATGCTCGTTTTTTTTCTTTGCTTCCCATTTCAAAGATGTATAGCCAGTGACAACTTGCCAAAATGTCAATTGTTCTGCTCGATCGAGGACTTGATGGCCGCGAAATCGAATCCCAGCCATGGCGGCCGCATTTGGGTGGCCGGGAAGTGGAAGACTGGTGTACTCAGATTTAGGGACGCGTTACAAAACCTCAGGTGGTCGATATTTCTGGAGACCCCCTACGACGGCGTCCTTCATAATCATATTGCTACTTCTCGTAGCAATATCTTGATTTAGGGATATGAAACACCACACATTAACTTTTCTTGCAATAGGTGCAAGCAAACTCTGAAGAACGACAGCTGGTCGCAATCAATCCGCAGTCCCTCACAATGATGTGTCTCACAATCACGTCGTAGTCTGGCCCATAAATACCAAATCGCGTGCTTTGAGCTTTGTTTTCTTGTATTTCGCAGTGGCAGTTTCGAAAAGCATTTGAAATACACGGGCCCCTTGTGTTCACTTACCTCTGAATTGTTTGGGAAAGTGGTTAAGAATTTAAGGTTAAGGAACTGGGGTTAAGGATATCATAGCTGAAATCAAGAAGAAGAAATGGACATGGGCCGTGCACATAGCACGTAGGCAGGATAACCGCTGGTAATTAAAGGTAACTGACTAGATTCCTAGAGACGGCAAACGGACGAAAAGGAGACGGAAAGTTAGGTGGCTGATGATATTAAAAAAGTTCGCTGGTATAACGTGGCAGCAGAAAGCACAAGACCATGTTGATTAGGGGGGCCTTTGCTCGGCGGTAGGCGTAGCTAGGCTGATGATGATGATGATGATGATGATGATGATGATGATGATGATGATGATGATGAAGAACTTTGAGTGCGAGTTTGGTGTTGCTCTTTGCTTGCTTGGCCCAGCATGGTTTCAGCGCTGCTGGGCATTGTTCGCTCATCGCTGGCGGCGAGAGATTGGTCCGTGTGTCAGGATCCGACGTACACGTGCGGTAAGTGGGAAATTGGCTCTTTTCAAGTGTTAAGGTAAAAGCCTTAAACTACCTGTCAGACGCGGAAAGTGACTGTCCACGTCGGCATTGGCAGTGTTAGCACGAATCATAAACATAATCCTTATGTGAACATTGTGTGGACGTCAGGTGACGTCACGTGATAACGTCACCACACGACATCATCACTTAAGTTAATGGTCGGCCGATCACGGAGGCAATGCGAATCCACGTTGGGTGCGTAAAGATCTTCATTGTAATCGAGAAGGAGAACCAGAAGACCGCTCTCGCCTTCCAGTTGTCTTGGGCATAGCATTTCTTAAAATTAACTAACTTTGGCGCTGTGATCATTCAGTCACCATGGAAATGATGGGTAGTGCATGAATTCGCTTAGTCTTTGTGCTTCGTGTTTTGAAGCGCACTCGTGGCTTTGTTTATTCGGGTGTTTCTGTTTTGTTTAGAGTAAATGAACAGACCGTTGTGAACTTCGTGACCCGATTTAAATTGTGGGGCCTAAAAGGTTGAGGTGGTGAGGTGCAAATGCTGAACATTTCCTGATGACTTATTCGTCTATGGTGTACCAGATCATATACTCGTATCGTATTAGTGTTTCTAGAATTTTAGGTGCGTAAGCTGTTTTTCTTTCTTTCTTGGTAAAGCGGTAAGCAGGGGGCCTTTTACCTTGTAATAGGACTTGTGTAGGCGGTTTGTCAAGGATTACGACAAAAGAAGGCAATATAAAACCAAGACGACCTGGGTGACCACATTTATACCTATTGCAAAGGAAGTCACGAATCCATTCCTTGCACCGATAGCTGAGGAATCGATGCTGAGGTATCCGTAGTGTTCACAAGGTTCACAAGATATCTTTATGAAAAATCGTTATAGCTTTGTGGTTCGACAATCAGAAACGATGCAAGGAGCCAGGGATTGTGAATGGTACGCGTTAATGCCGCTTGTATTCCTGTATATTGAAGCATTTGATTTTTATTCATGGGCGTATGTTAAAGCATTTTTTATCACACACGCTCGTTTTCTAATCATCATGCGTTGTTAAAGTTCAGGGTATTAAGAATAACGGGGTATTCAGTGTTTCAGCTGGTTGCCTGAGCAGCAACAGAACGGGAAATAGTTCAGAGAAAGTCACCAATTGGAGCTTCTAGTTCATGATTTCGCGCAAAGTTGTCGGAATGATGCTAGTTCATTCATAACATGTATGTTAATGTGCCACAATATAGTGACTGGCCACACATAACGGACGAATAAAGAAAAAAAAACATAAGTGCAACGCCAAAAAATATTGATCTAAGCACGTGTCCAGAAATTCTTCAGTAGGCTGCGTAGTCTCGGGATAAATATACTACGTAAGCTGGCAACTCCTAAACTATGAATTTCGAAATAGCGTCATGTTATTCTACCCAGAATATTACTTCATAAATATACGTAATAAGGCTATTATCCAGTGACTGTTGTGCAAAATATTAAGCCAGACCGTGAAGATAATGTTCCGCCACAAAAGTAAATAACGCCATTTGCGTGCATCGCGTCCCATTTGTTCTAGTTTTTTTAGGTAAGAACTAACTGAAATTTAATTTGTTACAAATTTTGTCAGCGACTCCAATTTAGTACAAAAGTGTGCATAGTTGAGCTACTTACTTATACATAATTAATAATAAAGTGCAAAAAATATCAAGATGCGCATGACAGAAGGCATGCATGGCACTGAACTCATCAATTTTTCATTGTGAAAAAATTCTTAAGGCTCAGAAGACTACGCAGTGGGATGACACCTATGTCGGCAAGCCGTTAATAGCGTTATTCACTAAAGAGCTAGAGTTTTGCGGTAGATACACTTCGTAATTAGCCTTGACATTCTTAGTACTGCAAGTGGCTTTCAATATTGCCGCGCCTGCTTCATGCTGCTTCGTTGTTTTTTATTTTTATGTAACTTACCCGTACCCTACACGTGTAACCAATGCTTGTGTAGGCCTAGCCTGATTGTCTGGAAAACTATCCGATCATTTTAGTATCTTCTGCTCAGATGACGCTCACAACGCGAACACTGGAATTCATTCTTGTACTGTCGCAGCCACCAGCGATAACGCTGGGAATCTTTGATGCTATATTCGTGTAAAAATACCGACTTTCCTTACAGCTCCTAAGATTATTTGATGACTGACAACTCTATGCGTCGATGTCGTCACACTTTGAGTGTAATTCTCATTTTAGGAGCGAAGCTCCATAAGGCGTGGGCTGTGCGTCCCCTGTATGTAGCCACCTCTCGTTCAGTTCTAAGTATTACGCTAGCCACCGCCCGATCTAAAGGGTACAGCCATGTCCATCCGTCCATCCGTCCATCCGTCCGTCCATCCATCCGTCCGTTCGTCCGTCCGTTCATCCATCCATCCGTCCGTCCGTCCGTCCGTCCGTCCAAAAGAAGCAAGATGTTATAAACTAGACGGCGGTACGTGTAGTTGATTATGAAAGATGCGAGGTGTTATAAAATAGGAATGATGCCACATATGGCGCGTGTCATCGTTCGATATAGTGCGGCGACGTACGCTAGGGGGAGCGTTGCAATAAAATCGAGTGGGCAAAATGTACGGAGGATTCATGGTTTACCAGGTTTACCTCCGGAGCTTCGCCCACTCATCATCATTCACTTCGTGGATATGGCGGCATTTTTTCGGACCCAAGCTCACCTGATAAATTGTTTCATCTTTACCGACTGCGATGGTTTTCTTCACCGTCGCAACCACGTTGCAGTACTACTGAGAAGCGCATCCTTTCTGAGGTGTCTTGCTAGATTCGGTATTGCTTGGGTGCTTATCATGTGTTTACATTCTATAAAACGTGGTGCGCTTTTTTTAGTGGTGCGAGAAACAAGTGATACTCCTGTTCTTCTTCGAAGCACTTCCGGCAGTGCACCTACTTCGAGATTTGTGAATAATAAAAGAAAACGTAGTTTCAGAAATAAATTGAGACATAATCCTTGGTTGTGATTCAAGTTCAGAGTTAAATATACTACATATATGGTCGATACATAAGTTTACTAGAGGTGAGGTGCAGTAAACAGAGAGAATCGCCGATGAAGTTTCATTTAACAAGTTTATTGAAATAGTAGTTGTTGTTTTTATTAACAGCCAGGACCGTTACGGCATCTGGTGGAGCAAATATCAACCACACGCTGCTTTTTACGCGGCCTCTGAGATCAGCTTCGGTAGCGCGCGATACACAATGTTAACCGAAACAATACACCAGCGCTCACGAACGGCGACGTACGATCGCCCCGACCAGACAGATAAGTCAGACATAAAAACTGAATAAAAATAGGACGAGCTTGTACTAACAACATAATAATATTGAAACACACACACACACACACACACACACACACACACACACACACATATATATATATATATATATATATATATATATATATATATATATATATATATATATATATATATATATATATATATATATATATATATATATATATAATTAAACGCTTGTCGTGTAGCTTTCTTTGTCTTGTCCCATGTTTTTTTGTGCTATTTTTATTCATCATGAATTACATACTACAAAAATACTCTATACTCTGTACTACTTTTTTTTCAATATTGTGGGCAGTTCAGTGCCATTTGCGTCTTCTGCTACGACCCGTCGTTTTTAACAGCGAAGTGGTATAACCTTTTCGTTCTGTCGTTCCGCGTGAACAGAAACTTAAGCTGCGCCTAGCGCGTGAAACGCAATAACTCGGCTGTTTTGTGCTCTGTGCTCTTCGAGGCATACATTCGAGAAATCAGGATATTTGCAGGATTTGCTTTATCACCCAGTAATATGGCGGATAATAACGCCTCTGGTCAGCGCATCTATTGAGATTGAAACCGTGGATGTGAGATGTGCGTGTTTCTTCAGTGCTTGTACCTGCTGAAGGAAACAAAATAAAATCACAGAACAGATAAATCGAAGAGAAGAGAGAGAAAGAATCCGAGAGAAAGAAATCACAGCTTATCCGCCGAGTGAATGATGATGATTGGGTCGAAGTGCTGGAGGGTTTCATCCCTGTACCGTGAACCATCCGCGAATATCTCCCACTACATCCCCAAAGACGTCACTAAAACTGTATATATTTATATAGAAGAAACTTTATTATTCGTAAGTGGTAGCTATACGTTGCTTCCGTTTCCCCTTCATTATAACGGCTTTATGGTCGGTGAAGTGGTGGATCGGTGATGGGGCGCAGTTGGAAGTTTGCAAGGACGAAGTAGTGGGCAGTTGGCAGAGGTGGAACTATAGGCGGTCACATACAAAGGATGGACACTATGGGACAATATATGGTTCTTTAACGCGCACCTGGTTACAAGTACACGACCATCTTGCATTTCATATTGGCTACTTCTCAGAAGTATTTGCTTTATAGTCAGTGAAGGGTTGGATCGGTGATGGGGCGTAGTGGGATGTTTGCAAGGACGGAACAGTGGGCAGTTGGCAAAGGGGGAACCATAGGCGGTCACGTACATACATACAAGGGATGGACAGACCCACACCTTTAAAATCTTGCCCCCTAAAATTACTTTGCTAATCGATTGATGCCATGCTAATTAATGCAAGCGACTAAGAACGGTAAATTAAGACAAGTCGAATTAGACTTTCGCTAATTATTACTAGCTAATAATGTGGGTCGGCCATGAGCTCTGCTATGATACAGAATTGCACTACTAGTGCAGCGTGCCCACATTTTTGCGGTGTACCCTTAGGCCGTTCTCAACTGCAGGGCCACTACCGCCCTTGATACCGGAGAGCTATATCATGAAGTACGAGTGGATCGACCTGGTGCGTAACCAGACGGCGTGGGTCGAGGAGTACTTCGACACCGAGAATCTGCGAGCCAAGATCTCGGTGGTGCTACGTGGCACGAAAGTTACCTCCATTTACGACTACTTCGCCGAGACGGTGACCACATACAACTCGGACAGGCCTGGAGGTAAGACGGCTACTGCAGCCCTATTTGTAACGACCCAAAAAAGCAAATATATTGAAATAACTGCAACGCCGTGCAAACATGTAATTGTGGCAACTTACATTTACCAACTCATTACAAAGAGAAAAATTTTTACAAGAGACAGCAACACCTGCAAAAGTGTAGTGTGAGTTATGGCGTACTTCAGTTGTGTTTTAGTTCTTTTCAAAAGAGTGTTTTCTTATCTGTAGTTGATTGGAATGTCATGTATCATTTTCGCAAGCAAGAAATTAATTAGGGGGCAGTTTTGTGTGGTATTTAATGTCTGTTTAATATTCTTTACTGCACGTGAGCTGCACGTATAGAAATGTGCCCGCGGGCTGGGGGCTCCGTTGTTTGCCTGCTTCATTTGTATTTCGCAATTACTAATATATGACCTCTTAATTTCAAATTCCAGCGACGACACGTGCAATAATATAGATGCCTGCTTTCTATGAGTCCCCAAATTCAACTACGGACGCTGTATAAGAATAACTGGACCTGGGACACGAATCAAAACAGGGAACGTTCGTTGTCCCCTTTCGTGAAGGCTTTATTTTTGCACGTGGCCTAAATTAATCTCGGTGATTATGCATGACAAAACTGCTACACGGCTATGAGGCATGGCGTAGTGGTGTATGTAAATATATTTTGAGCATGCCCGGGGTTCTTTAGTGGGCATCTATACTCATGTAACCTATATTCGTTTTTGGCATTTCACTCCCATTGAAATTCCGTCACCAGGACAAAGACTCGAGATTACGTTTCCACACTCGCGACTTGTAAAACATGCTGTTCATGATCCATCGTTGGTAGTCACTAGGTTGGCCATTCTTTAAATTCATACTGCGGTGTACTCTTTGGTGTACTGTATACGACTGAATAATAGCTACTGCAATTCAGGTACTGGTCAGCTTGTGCTGACAGCACTGTCATGATCGTTGATCACCAACCGAGTTCAACTGAAAAGCTCAAGTCCTTCCGGATATGAGCTTCTAAGCTTAACTTTGCAAAAGTCTTCTATTGGCTTTTTAATGGATGTTGGCTGTATTTTTTGTACCATTGTTAGACGAAGAGGGAGACCGGGTTTGGTGTGATGCAGAATTTGCGATATATTGTATCGCATGGTGTACTTGACCATCTGTAGTCGGCGCGGTATGGTGACTTCTTGTAAGGTCAGCCAACACTGTTTTCGTGCATTCTTTTTGGACTGTTTTAACGCACTTGTATATTTTGCACCAAAATCATATATGGCTAGACAAAAAGAAAATTCGTCAGTACTATGTGTGCTTAAACTCATCGAACGTTTGTGCCACGGAATTGGGGCAGACCAATACTGGTCCACTGAAAATGAAAAGGTCATCCGCAGGTGAAAGACGTATCTGCCACAGAAACGGGGTGAATCTCAATACCCAGCACTGGCTCACTAAAAATGATGAAGGGAACACACGGGCAGCACATTTCACTAATTAAAATTTTTGGACAGGCGTAGGCAATAAGTGTGAAAGCCTTTAATGGACCATCGGGATTGAGCATGTGATAAACACCAAGGTCATTCGTTTCAGCTGAGCTGGTTATTCATTTTTATGTGGTGCATGGGCAGTAACCTTTGCTTATCACCCTTTCGTCTAGGTAGGGCAGTAAGCGTTGTCCTCGTGAAATAATGAGTTAATATTTAAATACATATGAGCAACATGTGCCCTATGTTGGAGAACAATAACATTGAGGCGAGGCAGGAAGGTTATTCATCAGAGCAGTGGATACCTTTAATATATTTTGCTTGAAACTTCGCAGCCAAGCCTTCACTGGATCCGGAAAGCCAAGATACGTGCGAGATAGAGGAGATGTCCACGTACCGTGGTGTCCGGTTGCCGTTCGGCTACAAGTACCGTGGCGAGCGACCGCGCCAGTCACGCATGGACAGTTCGTACGAAGCCTTAAGGTTTGGCGGGCCTTACCGCGTCCAATACGTGCGTCCCGCCACGGGCGAAGAGACTCGTCATCTGCCGGCCGACATGTTTGAGAGCTGTGCCTACGACAAGAACGAGGATGCCACTTACCGAATGCGCTACTACTGGTCGGCCAGTGAGTGGTTGTCGCATTGTCGTTAGCTTCACGTCAACGGTTAAGGTCTCCGAGCTTTTTCTCTCTTTCTCCCATGCTTTATTTTTTCAACTCCGACCTCCGCTTTCTTCTTGAGTAGTGCAGTGTGGTGTCGTTTCCTTTTCGGGGGCGTGTGCCAGCCGTCTCTTTCATCTTTCTCTCAGTGGCCCGCTCTGTATCACAATTTGAAAGAAGTGCTAATTGACAGCAATGAAGTTCATACCTGAGTAGTATTTCTCGAGGACTGCGTGAGGTGACCCTCACAAGCTTTCGCTGTACAGTTCCTGGGTTAAATTTTTATCTCAACAAATCAGGATTTTCATTAACTAACCTATGTGCAGTTTGCAATGTACCGAAAACAATAGATCCCTTTCTTCTCACATGCTGCCGCTCCACCTCACTGCGACGAATAATTCTTGAAAGACCGATTGGTATGCTCAGATTGCCAGTCGATACATCCAACCTATTATCGTTTGGAGTCAGTCAGTTGGGTGTGGGCCGCAGTGCTATTCTGTCAGCGCTACATAAATTCATTCAGGCGACCGGAAGGATACGCTGCTAGTGGTACTGCCAGATATATCTAATTCTTTGTCCCCCTTCCTCATTCTTGTTAATTTGTTTCATATATTCTGGTTTATCGCATTCTTCTGCACTTTTTCACGTTTTTTTAAATGAACATTATTATTGTTCCCATCTAATTTCTGTTTCTTTTTTTTTAGCAAGCGTTGTCAAAAAATTATCTATTATGAGGTACAGTGTGGCCAATCCCCCATGTGGGTATGAGCCAAGATATCCTAGGCGACAAGACAAGACAAGACTATAAGAAACGTGCTTAGACATTATTTCAGAATGTTTGGTTCGGGGATGATATTGAGGCATAAAATGTAGGACATACGTCGGAAAAAATCCTCTTGAAATATTATTATATTGCTTTATATTGCCTCACTGCATGCACCAGTTGAAATCATTTCATTTTTAATATTTTAAGAGGAGCCGATTTCACCCTGTTTAGCCGTACTGACCTCTTTTGACTGACGATTTTCGCAAACACATAAAACATTAGGAGTCGTGTTTATGGAGCTAGGTGGTTGAAGCGGTTGAGGAACTGCATCAAAAGATGAATTTCTTTTATTTTCATCAATCGAAGTCATCACAAGTGCGACGACTCCGACGGGCGATAGTCAAATGGGCTGGGAACTCGCACTTTCTTTTTTCATTTGATTCTTTGTACGTCTCGGTATGATAATCAGGGCCTCCAACGCACCTATAGACTCGGCATCATTTGCGAACTTTGAATCAGTTGGACTGATTTAGTGATACAATACTCTTACCACTCCGCATGCTCAAGCGAATATGTTTCGATTGTGTCGTACACACAGTCAGGCACGCACACGCACGCATACCCACAACGCGCACAGCAAGGGAATTAACTTCTAAGGGTGCTTCTGTTAGTGTTAATGTTAATGCTTAATTTATTTGTGTTTTATTTCAGATGCGTCATTTTTGTTCCCAAACGGGGAAGTGGACGTTCCTATCCGTATCGAGCAGAAGGGAACTTATACCAACCCCGACGACGACAACAACAGGGGCCCGTGGAACACCATCCGAAACGTCGCTTGGTACCAGTCGGACCCAGAGTTTTCCGACGAGGATTTCGAAGTAAGTTGTTGGTCCTTGGAATTCGTCGCACCTGTCTAATCACTTGCATATCTTATCAATTATATAAAAGAAACGAAAGAGCGACAGCTGTTTTAGAAAACGTCCCCTCCATTGTTAGAAGGGTTGGCGTGGGGTAGACTCTATTGATAGTCTCGGCCAGAGTTCTACGAAAAGGTAATTCCTAAAGCTCTAAAAAAACTACATAAAAAAGCGGAAGCAGTCGAAGGTAGTGCTGTTTGAGTCTGCCAGCTGTTTCTCTCTCTGTGTTCAATTACGGAGGATGGGAAAAAAGTGCGAACTGGAGCCAGCACACATTTTCGATTGCTTTTAGATTAGGGGATTAGTGTCTGATCGCCGAATCTGTCCACTAGGTACCACGGCAGACATACTGCAAGAACAACGCCAATGACCGGGAGATTGCGCAACCACCTGACACCTTCAACTTCCGAGTCGAAGAGGTCTCCTTCACCCTCGATGAGACCGGATCCAGGGTCGAAGAAATAAAGTCGACTTCATTTAAAGAGGTACTCCGCACAGCCACAGATGCCCTGCATTGCGTTCATTGTTTGCTTTAAAAGGAGATAAAAGGGAAGGAGAATTATTCGCATATTAGCGAATTACTTTTTCGAAATTCCAAAATCACCACACTAACCGCTAGAATACGCTTGGTTGGAGAGGAAACGCACAAAAAGAAAATGCAGTGGCCAACGCCATTTGAAATTCCCGCGCCAAACATTGTGACGTACCTCTCATCTTGCGATGGTCACTACTATGTCTCACGCAGCCTTTAATCAGTAAAAGTAAGTACATTATCCTCTGAAGGGGCCATAGATGTAACATAAGAAGTTTCGAGAAATTTCATTGAGCCAACGTCGACAGAACAAGAAAAGTACACTTCGAAATCTGTGACGTCTCGCGCCAAAAATTCCACGCAAAATTTAATAATTAAACTTACGTCTTTATTTATCGGTTGTGTTAATAAACGTATGATGGTGACGTTAACGACATTAGAGTTCTCAAAGTACAATTTATCGTAGAAGTACTTGTTGCTGGACTAGTTGGTTCGTCATACTGAGGGAAACTTCTCGACGCCTAAACCTGTGGTGATTTAGGCGTCTAGAAGTTTCCCTCAGTACAATTTATCAATCCAAACGGATTCAGCAGTTCACTTTCGTGGTCATTTAATGTCAAAGTGTGGAAACAGGCTATCTGATATCGCTTGCCAACATTTTGCATCCATAGGAAAAGCGAGGGTTCTTCGTATATTTTGATATATGCTCCTTGTTTTATGACTCGAGGTGTATGCACAAATGTTTTGGTCCATTGCTACTTGTACGCTTATGTCATGCTACCCAAGAAACGATACTTGTGATAGTTTATTATATATTTATTAGCATTGCCATTCTTTGTTATTTGTTAATCGCACCGTACGAGCATTTTTTTTCTTCATCCTCGCAGATTTGGTATGACGCGATTATGCAACTAGCCAGGGTGGACATAATACCCTCCGAAGAGGAGAAGAGCTGGCCGCTCATCAATGAATCAGCCGGCTTGGATACCATGCTTTCTATCGTTCTTGACTACAGAGCAGGTAAACCATGTATTGCGCGGCGAACAATTTTTCTGTCGCTTTCAGCATTCCTTACCACGGATAGTTTAAGATGTATGTTCCTTCAGTAGCCTCGAGCACATACCGTGGCGCCACCTACATGGTGACGTCACACATGGGATGCCGGGTTGTGTTGTATGCTAGAACGCCGCATTTTCTGCGCTTTTGCTGTGGACACCGTGCGTGATTCTCTTTGTTTTGAAGCACAGTGCTTAAAGAAGGGGTAAGACCTGATAACACGGGTAAGCAAACTAGCAATCGGTGCCTCCGGTGGCACTCTCGTGTCTAATTTACACCTTAAAATTGCGACTAAGTACTGGTGCAGCCATGGGGGGCGATGCAAGCAAGGCGAGCGCACGCATCCTATCTGTGACGTCAAAACGATCGCAGTACTGAATTCTGTAGTGGAGGCCCTCGCGGCCAACAGATGTCAACGTCTATTAAAATAGTGCGTTGTTCGAGGGGACAATAGACGCATTTTTTTTACACGAGCGATAATGTGAACCGATTCTACATTGGTGCGGCGAAAACAAACGCAACGGCAAGTTCTACATCTTCAACATAAAATGATGTACTTCTCTAAGGAAACCTTTTGTATGCTCGACATGAGCGTAATTTGTTCCGTTGTTTCTTTTAACTGTTGCTCTTTATATCGTACTCGTTCTTTAAGGTGACTATAATATTGCGTGAAATATACGTTTGCATTTTTTAGCACTGTACTCATCTTGTTTATTAACAATGTTGTTTATTGTAATCCAGAAGCCGCATTTGTTACGCATCCATCAAGCGGAGAGTGCGTCGTCAGAAAACTCACGAGTGATTTTTTCCTCTCGGAACCGAACAACACAGAGGGCGTTGAAATGTTGGACCCGAAAAAACTGTTTGGTTTCACGACAGAGCATCACTTTCAAGGACGGGTAAGACGACGTGGACACCAGTCGAATCGCATGGAAAGTCGATGTATATGAATATATTCCCGGATTAGATTAATTACGTATTTATCTTTTTAAATAGCAAAGTTACGCTCGGCGAATGTTCGCATGACAAATGAGGCAAGAATTAAAAAAAAAACATAGATCCATTGTTTTACACGGTGGAATTACGACGAACACCGATACAATGGATGTTAAATTATGTTTGCAAGTTTTGTCATTAGGTTATGCTTGAAAATTTACCACCTTACGCACGCGTGGAACCGTGCAATTCTGTTCGGTATGCAACAAACAGCCGAAGTTAGACCAGGAATGCTTATATGACTTCTGCGACCCTTCGCACATTTTTAAATTTTATGTAGCGACGATTTTCTCACATACTTGCGTGCATTTAGCTACACGTCACACATAATAAAAAAAGAAACAATAAACACTATACTCTGAACCTAAGTCCGTGAGAAAAGCGGAAATTGAAGTCGTATCTTGTCTGTCCAGCTTTTGTTTTTTCATAAGAACAGCCGCTGCTTTTTTTTCAATTATCTACAAAAACAAAAATTTTCTCTTACCTCATTCGTTGCCGCACTTGAAACACCTTTTTGTATGCTGGGGTAACCTGCTAATTTATATTAATTAGGTCATAATTTAATCAGAACGTTCAGTAAGCTAGAAAGGAACTTGTTGCAGTTTTGCCCTGCGTCGGGGCGTGGACTCGAGTATTTTTTGTCAAAAGTGGAGACATCAGGTTGAAGACGCATACACGCGAGAACAAGTGTACGCGCGCCATGAATTATGATTGCTCGTTTGAAGGTTCTCTCCAGCTCGCCACGGTCTCTTTTTTGCCCACGTGTTAGATATCGAATTGTGTGGCCCGTCACCCGCGTGCTTTAGTGGCTGGGCTTTTATTTACCTCTGACAGTAGAAAATCGGCAATACCCAAGTCACCCGTAAGAGAATATTACCGTAACGTATGATGCAGATGCTTTCTTTATTTTTTTCGGAAGAAAAGTAAGCCGATTCCTTGATTTCTACCCCTTCTTTGACTCCGAATAAAAGAAAAATAAAACAAATTCGTGTATAATGAATGTCGTGGTTCTTGGGCAAATTCAATACTCTGAGCAGAAATGACGTAGCATAAAGAACACTTGTGGAAGGAGCAAAGTACAGCCACCAAATGTACGCACTCCTTTTAGTCATTTATTTATTTATTTATTTTGTTTTTTGTTTATTTATTTATTCTGAGCAAAACATTATTGAAAACGCCTAGGCAGAAAAGCGCGACCAACTAAACAATTTACAACAATCTTAACAAGAAAAAGAACAAGAACAATGAAAGTCGTGGTGCCGTCATTTGGAAAGCGTTCACAGCCGGTTCGATGCAACGTCACCTCACAGTTCACGGCGCATCGGCAACCGCTGTCGCTCATAAATCCTCTCGCTCGTGCGGGAAACTTTGATGCGGATGCCGAAGTCCGGCAACTCTCTCAACCGCGCTCGCTGTTCACCCCATGGTTGACTGCGCTTGAGCGCCTTGAACGCAACACCAAAGAAAGTCGACTCAACGTTCTTCACAGGACCACAACCAACATCTATGTAACAACATCGCGGCTCATGCATTTTTGTGTTATGCGTTCATTTGTACAGCTTTGTCCTAGCAAAAGCGTCCTGTGGAATGAATCAACCGGTGCCTTTTGTTCTCTCTTTCCGAAGCGTATTTTTTTCTTTTTTTGTTTGCACTTGAATAAAAATAATTTATTCTTCGCTACGTGTTTCTTGCGGTGGTGTAATTCCAGAACAGAGGGGACACAAATCAGATCGTGGCGACCATGTCGTTTTTAAAGAAGGACTGAATTTTTATTTACATAAGACTAAAAAGATCGCTTGAAGTAAGATTATAACAAAAACGAACATGAGGTCCGAGTTTGAGTAAGTGCATTGTTCTATTCAGTCTTCTTTGAACCGATTGAGTGGCTTTTAAGACTTGCATAGTCTCGCATAGCTGAGGGGTATTGAACACGTGTACATGCTCAAAAATAATCAGGCTTCAAGTAGTTTAATGTGTTACACTTAACTGTCAAGTAATTGAAATATATGATGGTCTAAAGCTAAGCGTCAAGGCGGGACACTTGCGAAGGGTGTGCCCTCACCCCCAGACAAAGTGGGGGGGGGGGGGCAATCTGAAATCGAAGCACACAATGAAGAAAACGAAGGCTATGAAGAAGCTGACCAACAGAGCGCGTTCCAGTTCACGATGAGGGTAATTTTGTATCCACAACACACCGCAAACTTAGACCGCAACAGCTCCGCTGTAAAAAATGCATTTCATGAATGACACCTAATATAAGCTGTTTCAGGAACGGTAGCTACACTAAGATGCTTCCTTCAGAAAGCTAGAATCATTCTTGGGGGAAACGTGGATGGGAACCATCTCATGTTTGATGAATAGCGGAATATCATCGTTAAAACGACATATATTTGGCGTCTAACTTATTTCTCTTGTCTTTTGAGCAGTACAACATCAGAGGCATAGAGGTTGAGACATGGACGGCTCTAATAAACGAGTCGCTGGAGGAAATGAACGATACCACTAGGAGGCACGAGATTTCGCTGATGACGGTAAGCAGGATGTCTACGTTCGTAGAATAAAATGGCCTACGCAACGATGTAGGCGAAATTTATTGTCCCCGTGTAATTGTTGATTGCAGAAACTTTGGGATCATCGCTTGTTAATAGATGAATAGGCATATCATGCGAACTTTTTTTGTCTTAAGTAGTAGCCAAGGGATATATGCCTAGAAGGCACTGAAGGACGGGCACCGAGAGACACTTTTGTCCTTAACTGCCAGGATAATTATTGAAAATTTATTGAACGAGTTCATTGAAAGAGCAGATGGTTTTATTTCGAGAACCATATACGGAGCCTTCATCTGCGCGCCGCCTCCGTAGGCGGCACGCACATGAAGGCTCCCTAGAGAATTCGGAATCGCTGCGGCACCTGGCGGAGGAGATCTCAACCACGCGCTTCCTTCTGTGTGGCCTCTGAGATCCGCCCAGCCAAGGTGACGAAACGAAGCGAAGTTAAATCAAGGATTACTCAGGGGCACATGAACGACGACGCCCGAGAGCCGCTACAAAACACCTTAGTCAAACATTTGGAACGCCTGCTAATTTTTTTCTGCCTTTCTAATAAAGAAGAATTTGCACCAATTACTTGATTTAACCTAGAAGACTCAGTCAAGGGAATCATTCGTTAATGTTTTACAATGTCTTTTTTTCATGTCAGACTTTTCTCATGCCATTAATAGTCTTCGCATTTCGAACAATTTCTATTCGTTCCGAATGATTATTTACACCAACGTTTAAAACAAATTCGTGTTACGTAGTATCAGGATAACTTATCCTGTTATCCTTTCTGGTGACACAACTTGCTTTGATCTGCGGGGGACTAAAATCTAGCAATAGAAGAACAAATACACAATTATAGCAGCATTTTGCATTTAAAAAAATATGGCAGTCATGAAGTTTTGTTTCTCATGTTAGATTCCCCCTTCCCCTTTGCCACGTTTTAAACTTGTTATACCATTTACTTATGAAGTGTGTATGGATGTTTTGTCGATTTTCATTGGTGCCACTGCCATCTTTACCGGCAAAACTGACCACATCTAAGGTCAGTCTGTTTCTTCTAGGACTCGGAGGCAGAGCGTTCAGGTGAACGCGACATTGAGTTTGTTCCTGTTCAGGAAATCATCTATACAGATACGCATCAGGTACCTTCTTTCTTTTATATTGCGTGGCTGTTTCTCCAAAACCGGAAATTTCCTCCAATTGGGCTATGGTTTCATTATATAGCGAACTCATGTCAGCATAGTGGGCATTTGCTGTAAAGGCAATAAGTGAATAATTACAAATCTATTGAGCTCAGCTGATTAAAGCACTGGTTAATTTTACCGTTGACATAAGCTAGCATATGTAAACGCTTCGACCGGAGACAGGTCTTTCTCAAGGACCTTTGAGAAGGCAGGTCTTAGATCAATACGTCAGGCTAAATGTTGTTATGCCGGAAATAATATTGCTAATGGAGTCTTACAATAGTGCACTAAGACAACGACGCAAGACAACAGTTCGGCATGCACCACTTTTGTATGCATAGATGTCTGTGGAGCGATCTTCAACAAAAAAGCCCATCATTACCCTTCCAAGTTTCGCAATAGACCACTACGATTTGATGTAGTAATACATAATAACATTAACGTAAGGTTATCGGCTCTCAGAAAGGAAATTTTAGTTTTACATAAAAGTACATTCTTGCAAACCAAGGAGCTGTTAAAATACGCCATGATTGCGTCAGCTTAAAATTGCGTGCCGCTGTTGCTTCAAGTGAATACTACATGTACTACTGTTCATTGTTTAATGGAACAGCTAAATAGTAAAGTTATAGAAAACTTTGATCTTTAGGAGAGTATATCGTAGCCTGTAAGGTGTTTAAGGCAGAAATACGCGTATTGTGTAGTCGTGCATGCGAGCTAACACTATTATCGCCTGTAAACCCTGGTGAAGCACTAAATATAGATGGTTTGCCTTGAATCCTATGAAGTCGCTTTCTCAAACTTCCTAACTCAAAGAGAAGTTGCTTAAGTGAATAGTAGGGCTGAAAGATAGCACAGCAGCAGTGGCTTGATCGGAGCGATGAACTGATAACAGCGGTAACCTGGTGAAGTGGGGTCACCGCCAGAAAGTGGAACAGTTTGATACACAGCAGTGACGTCATCGCGGCCGTCATGTTTAGGCACTAACGCGGAGATTAGAAACCTCCATGGCGTCGCTTAGCCGACTGTTCATGTGTTCTGAGCAGTTCACTGTATCTTTACGCCGTTTTCATGACATAATGTCCGCGCTTATATAGCCAAAGGCGTTACTCTGTTTATGGATGTGGAATGAGATTTAAAGTCTTCAATGAAGAGACACAATATAATAACAAAAAAAGGAATATATAAATAATTATGAACTGCGGAAGTGAGCCTGATGACGAAATGGAATGCCAGGTACGTTTAGGCTTTTCTGATCATAATTTTAAATTATGGATGCTTTAGTGTACAAACCACGTTTTGATTATGAGTCACACAATGATATCGAATTCCCCTCCGTCGAAGGCCACGAAGGATGGAACACTGGAATTCAGGCAGCACGTGGTGACGAAAAACTACTTCAAGTTCACCTCGGAACAGCCGCGGCTATCGGTGTTCCAAGCGCCAGGTTGTGTCTCCCGTCACGAAGCAAGGACCTTCAAGGTTTCGTTCAACGGTAATGCATGGGTTTTCTACTGAAGTATACGAGAAATGTTGAAATTGAACCGTATTAAATACTCTTGAAGCCGTTGACCTAAATGGGTAGACCCTGACGCAATATTTGAAAGCCTTACCTGTAATCATTAACTAAAAAAATGGTAATAAATGTAAGCTCGCTACATTGAAAATGCCTTTAATTTCGCAGGAGACGACTACAAGATCATTCGACAAAACAAGCAAGTGTTTGTGGATGCACTCAGAGGATCGCTGAAAGACTACGGAGATGTAGACACCGTAATGCGGATCGAGGTTATCGGAGTGAGTACGGCCCCGTGTATGCGCTTATAATCGGTATCCTTGCGAGTGTTCTTAAACGTAAAGGGTCTCGTTTTAAGAGTTCTATAGGTAAACGTAAAAATCCGCAATATTATTTCATCGGTAGGGTAAAAGTAAAGACGAAAACGAAGTGCCACGCTCAGCATGACTTGAAGCACGGCAGCGCGTGCCCCTATACGAGCTTCAAGTTTGCCCATGGCTTCCGCTAGCCTCATTTCCACCAGTAAACACTGTTCTTTACCATTTAGTGTATGAATATATTATTTACTGGTGTACATTAGAATAACTTGAAGACATGCACAATATTTCAGCTCTTATTTGAGACCATGTTTACGCATGCACTCACGCGTTACTAGTCATGCTGAGTACTATTGTAGCGGCTGATGACGCTTACTGAATTGCAAATAAACATTTAGCAAAAACGGCTGCTTCATGTGGCAGTAATGTACCAAGGAAGCAAGACGAAACTTGCGACTTCTGAACATTGGTGTAAATCATGGGGGGGGGGGGGGGGTATCAATCGGGAGGGGTGCAGACCTTCTTGTGTTCAGGCTAGAGAGTGGGGGGACACACTTGCAAGTGTCCCTCCTTAAGATTTAGCTTTAGAACGTCCTATATTTGATTTATGTATATGGCATTCAACATTAAGAGGCGGATAATGTTTTTACATGTACCTGTGTAAAATACCCCTCAGCTGTGTCAGACTGGAAAAAGCAAAAGCCGTTTGGCGGCTTTAAATAACACCGAATAGAACAATGCGATTGTTCTAACTCAGACCTCATGCTCGTTTTTAAAGTTTATTTGAAAGCAAGATGAAATTCTTATAAACGTAAAATACGACCTATATTAAAAAAAACTAAATGGCTGTCCCCTTATTTCTGTCCCCCTTTGTGATTATTCTGGACTCACGACATTGCTTCCAAAATTCGAGTGTTAAAGCGTTTTTATCCGGAGACTGTGTTAATGAGAGTGCCATCGCCATCAACAGGTGGCGTTCTATAAAAGAAGCAACGAAATAATGGCTTTCTTCAAGATATTGGAACCCCTGTCTGAACTTCAATCAAAGCATGCCGTCACGGTCGACGAATCATTGCAAAAAATTTTGGAGCGGGTCCAAAATGGAACGTTGGTTTTCACGCTCGTGCTTTCAGATGAAAACAACAATACGCAGGTAAGCACAAATATTGCTATGCAAAACAAAAAAACATATTTTATCGCTATTTCTGTTCTCGATCTGGCATACTGCTGTCGTGTTCTTTCTTACACCTCGTGATGCCATCGTGGATGGCAAATGTTCGTTGATGTTGAATACTCTTCGTTGGGTGTTTGACAGACCTTATGGAAAGCATAGTTCGAAGTGTGGTCAGAGTTTCTGATTAATCTGAAACTCAAATTCCATATGTAGATAATAAAACAATGGAGGGTGATTTCTATCCATACGCGTCCGTTGCATTTCTTCAAATTTTGTTTAGAAAAATTTTTTTTACGATTTCGAGTACTTCATACTCAACTATGGGAAAGCACTGAGCCGTCCCGCTGCCAGAACGTTGTTTGGTATGTGAAGTGACGTGCGAAAAGCGATGAAGGCACTGCTGAACTGACTGCGAGCGAAGCGTCTTGTTAAAATTTTGTGGGGGAAAGAAGGAGTACTGGTTTTGAAGGAGCACTGAAGAAAATTTGCAGATTGTTTTTTTTTTTTCGTTGTTGTTGCAGTAGGTAGCTTATGACCTGCTTATAACAGCTCAAAAGGCTTTTAGCCTTTTGCCTTCGCTTCATTTTCTGTACTGGTACAGAAAGAAACAAATAAATAATGAAAGAAAACCTGGTTTGTGCGTATGTGTGATGGTTATTGGTTTAGAGACGTCATTAGAGAGCCCAGTCTCTGTTTCGGTAGCAAAGAGCGCCGAGCTAGCCAGGAGCAGCTCCGGGGGAACGGTGAACACAGCTGTCCACGTGACCACGCAAAACTTTGACGTGGGGGCCGCACATGGCGACCCCGTCTCAGCACAGCCAGCACACGCGAAGTCACAGGCGCGGAAGAGGAAACGAAAAGTACGTAGCGCACGTGCAAGACGCGTGCCGGCAACCAGCTCGTGACCTAGGTTTGTTCACATTGCTCCTGCCTTTATGTCGGTGTCGCGAGGGGCTCCGCATATGTTCTATGGTTACTTTTTGCTCTTTATATCTCGTAGATGTTGTGTATGTCTCCAAATAAATCTATCTCGCTTATTATTTCGCCTTCCAAGTCTTGTGTCAGTGCTACTTTAAAATACAAAATGAAGAGGAAAGTTGAGCCCGTTACTGTCTGCATCAAAGTGCGACACCTGAGCAGTGGTTCGCGTGGGAAGGTATAAGAAGGGAATACAAGAGATATGGAGAAGTAAAGATTGGAGGTTGTTAGAGAAGTCCACTGACGGGGCCCCGATCGATGAGCGGTGATCGAAGAGAGGGCGTCGTGGCCGGAACACCATCAGACACGAAATCCGCCTAGCGTCTTACAACGATTATGACGCTCCCGTGCCCCAAAGCTACTTCTTAGAGTTTTAGAATTTCAGTTTCTTTGTTTTCGCATGAAACATGCATGCTTATATTTTCTTTTTTCTTATGACAACAAAGCTGCTACTACTTTCTAGCTGCGTACCTACCAGGCCATAAAGGGATCCTTCGCCGAGGCGCAATGGCCGATGAGGAAACGGACGCTCTATTACCAGCCCCAGAAAGCAATGGACAGCATTGTTCGGGGAAAGGAAAACCCACCAGCAGGCCAAGACACCGGCTACAGCGCTGGTACGTTTCCTATTGACAGCTGCTTACTAACTCACCGATAGACACCACTATTCGGGGTATTTTAGGGTGACGAAGTGGGAATGGAGGCTTTTTTCCGACTGCGCCAGTCCATTTTTATGGACTTTGTAGATCTATCTATAATAGGCAGTAGTGACACTTGGTAGTTGACAACCTTCACCCATGCTCTATCCGTCAATGTAATCGAACAAAGCCTTCGACTGCGAAATCACCTATGCTAATTCTGATTAGATGGCAAAAAGTTCTTTAACGCAAAAAAAAAAAAATCCACCGACAAGTTGCAGCACGAAGAACGTTGGTTGGTAATCGTCGACGTGAATGGCGTTCAACCCGAGTTTGAACTGCGGAATAGGACAAATTTTGTGTGAGTATTATTTTCCAATATCTGCAAGGATTTTCTTGTTGCTGCTTTATACGAATGGCTGCTTCAATTTTTTTTTCATGTTTCGTCTGCATCTTAAACTGTAGCAATGAAAACTGTTAATACCTAATTGCTGATGAGGAATATGCGGGGGGACGAGATGTGATTTTCTGCGTCAGTTTACATTTTTACTATGTGCGGTTCCATTGATTGAATCGGGAGCTGGATCCCTGGTAACGTAGGGCGTTAATGTTTCTTTTTTCCTTCTTTTTCTGTTCTCTCTTTTTGTGCAAACGCAGGTGCATTTGCGGCAATTGCGGTTACGTTCACCCTGGCCGGTATCGCTTGCGGAGTCCTCTCCATGTGGGTTTACTTGAACAGGAAGAAGCGCGATGGTCTCATTCAAAACGAAGAACGTCCAATCGAGCTGCAGTGACCTTCAAGGCGACACATGCCACTAAGAAATCTCAGCAACCTTGGGAAGCGTTATCATGAACTCATGACATGAAAAAAAAAACATAAACGCTTACCTTCATTTCGCTTCGTATCATTGCACCGTTCGCTTCGATAGCGCACGTTGTGGCACCGAAGTTTACACCAGAGCTCAGCCGCCCTACTAGCTGAATGTATTAGTCGCAACGCTGCTGCATCCAATGTCGTGATTTCGATACCTGTCGTGTACTTCATATTGATAAACACGTCGGGATAAAAAATGGTGGAGTACTTTCGTTCAAGTGTACGTAAGGGTTCAGATAATCAGCATCGATTGGAGGATGAGCGGAATGAGCAAATGCGGCCCACATTTCTCAGATTCATGGGAACTGCCAACGTGACGTAACTAAATGAAATATACATAGCTAAGAGGAAAAAATTGAGGTAGAAGCGTAGTTAATAGATTAATTAAATTAGTCGTGAGGCCTAATGTATGTAAAACCTACTACTTCTAAAGTTAATAGCGACAAGAAAACTGATTGTGCGGTGAACTGACTTCCAGTGCGAGCTTCAGAAATAACTTGGTTTGTTCGAGCCTTACAGACTATGGCATATACTCACTGTACGAGATTTCTTGGCGAAGATATCGTAGTTTTAAATTTAGTAGAGAATTTCTTCAGTATTAAAGGGTAAGAAATTAAATGTGCAGTCAAAATTAACCTGAGGCACCGAAGTTTCGTATAATTTCTTAAGTAAAAGTTGGTGCTATCTTTTAAAATGAAGTAACATTTGATGCACTTCGTTTTCGTCTACTTTCACGTATGCTGGTAGAAAGTGAGTGACTCATTTTTCATCCTCATCCATGGCTCAAACCCACGCCGGTTTTTCTACGAGTATTTTAAATGAGTGAGCAGTCGCAATTAATTTGTTTGTCGTAAAGCATATTTGGTAGCGAAAAATGAAAGATGCGCTGTTTTTATCGTGTTAAGGGGCCAACATTACGATGATGATGATGATGATGGTGGTGGTGGAGATGATGGTGATGATGATGATGATGATGATGATGATGATGACGGTGGTGTTTGCTGTGACGGTGACTTTATAGTAGTGGTTAACTCCAACTGTAAGAAATTTTGGTGCTTTCACAAGTCACATTGCCCGATCTGCTTGTTTTTCATTATGTCAACGTCATTCTTTATGTCGAAATTCTTGAACAAAAGGGCAAGACCACGATGTTTCTTTTTTGTTTCTTTGTTTTCCTTAGAAGGAACATTCAATATTTCTCCTAAGGGGGTTCCGCAGCGGGGGTTAGTTGGGTATACCTTTTTTTAACTAAGGCCACATGGGTTGCACAGAAAACTTGAGACAGGGGAATATAAGCTTAAACATTTTCCTAATCATTGGGCCGCTTCGGACCGCTGCATTCAGCTGCTGCTAAGGAAAGCCTCGAAATAAAATTCTATTGCCACAAGTTTCGTGGCCGATCCCCCGTGGTGTGTTCTGCCATTATTTTTCTAGGTGGCAATGGTTGTGCCATTATTCTGGGAATCATCATCAGGAGCAGTGTCATCAGCCTGTCGCCTCGCGCTAGGCTCGCGTTCGGCGGGCAGCCAGACGAGGCGGCGGCGACATGACGACCTAAGGCCGCGCCGCGGGTGCGCAATACGAACCCCGAGAAAATTCCGCGAGGGCATCACGGGCTTCGACGCTTCTGGAGGCTGCCAAGATGCTAAGCCCGGCAATCATGGACTGTTTCAATCTGCTGAGAAGCATGTGGGACGCCGATTTCGCCGCGGGCCTTAGCACGGGGCTCCTGCAGTGCTTCTACCTGCTTCAGGTGTTCCACGGAATGGGCCTGCCACCACGCAGGACCTTCGCGGCCGCCCTGCTCTGCTACCTCATCCGAGTGTGCGCCGTGCCATCGCTGATGCGTCTCAACTGCTGGGCAGCTTGAGCGCGACCACGATATTGGTAGTAGGTGGGTCCTTCGGCACCGAGAAGCGAGTCATTGCCTGCGTTGGCTTCTCGACAGCTGCACGCTGAGGGCTCGACCAGGTCAGTATGAATTCGACCTATGTACTCAAGGAGCCTGCCGACCAAGCTAGCGCGACCAGCTGCGGCGACAACACGCGACGTCCGCTGTTCAACTCGGTTAAGAAGCTTCGCGAGTTTTGGACCCGCTGGCAGAGCAGGGAGAACAAGGTGCTCACAGGAAACCTTAACGACCCCGGTTCACTGTCCGATGATCTCGGCTCGTTCCCTGGGGCCGTTTCGCACCGCCAAGCACCGGCACGGGCAAGGGTACCCTGGAGAAGCGAGGGAGGAGGCAGCCGCTCGACTTTGGAGAGGAGACCACTGCCTCGTTGCCGACGTCTTCGCGACCTCGCCCGAAAAGTCAGTTCCCGCTTCTCTGGGTCTACTAACGACGCCTTCGAAGACGACGATGGCGCCGTCGTGGCCTCCGCAGCGACGGCAGCAGCGGAATCAACCGGATTCCGGGATCCCGATTTCACCAGTATCGAAGAGTACTCGATGAGAGACCCTTTTCTCCGCGACGAGGGGCCCTCGGAGTTCTCCTGCCACGCGTTCAGTTCTGTGTTTAGTCATCACTCCGTGACCGAGTCCACAATCGAGGCGTACGCCGACGTCTCGTTGGAGATGGCGCATCGCCTCCGGAGTCGCCGCGCACCGCGCTCGCAGCATTGCAACAGCGTCTTGCCCAGCAACCTGTTCCGCAGGTCTTCGCTGGAGACACGCCGGTCTTCTTACAGAAGGCTCAGGTCCATCTCGGGAGAGGATGACGAAGCGCCTTGACCACGAATGCACGGCAGGTGCTTTAAATTTGAAGCCCGAGGCACTCCGTTCGGAATGTAGACAGCAGCGATTAGTCGTAATCAAATTTTAAATAAAGTAAGGAATGTTATAACTTTGGCACTTCTTACCTTAAACAGGCTTTCGAAATTGAGGACGCGCAACACGCCCTCTCGTTGGTTAGGGGGACTGCACCCGTGACGTCTATTTTGCCAAGAATTTCAGGGTTCTGCGCTAAGGTAGACGTTGACGTTTCTTTTGCCCTCAAGTAAAGCTGAAACTCATTCTCGACGAGGACCGCTGTAAGTGCATCTTGCTACACCGTAGTATACGCGTTCAACGCCTGCCACGGTGGTCTAGTGGCTAAGGCACTCATCCGCTGACCCGTAGGTTGCGGAATCGAATCACGGCCATGGCGGCCGCATTTTCAAGGGAGGCACCCACGGGAGAGCACCCGTGGGAGTGATGCTGATGCTGATGCTGATGACCTCTGATGGATGGCGTTTACCCACAAAGGGGGATGGGCCAAGAACCGGGCGGCAGGATACTTAAATGAAACTAAACTAAAAATGAAGCCAATCTTTACAAGACCAGGCGTATACACACAAGCGGGTATATGCCTAGAAAAAAAAAGCATGTCTACATCACAGAACAAATATTCTGTAGATTTTTCTTTTATTTGTAAAGATCACATAACATCATGCGCTCATGCTCGTATCGTTATTTGAAAATACTTTATTAAGCAATTTTCACATGTTGCTAGGCCTACTAACATAACCGTCTACAAAAACCGAAAATCAATTCTGTGCCGTTAGCAGTGCCGTTGCGTTACGGCTTCAAGTACGGCAGCAACACCTTTACCAGCGACTACGATTCTGTAAACAGCATTTAAATAGTTTGTCACATGGACCTGTTCGATTGTCTCTTGGTGACTCCGATGAAACCAAAAATATTCCATTTGTACAACCTGATTTGTGGGAATACTGGCAAACATTGTTTGTTAGAAATGTTCGGTGATGACGGAGCTGCTACTTTCATGATTTATTATTTTTTAGCGCAAAATTGCAATAAAAATATTGGGCACAATCGGAAAAAGACACGCGTTGGATTCCGACGACACTAGCTATCTGTTTACTGCGGTGAAGATATAACAATAAACATTTTTTTTTCTTGTGGTGTCCAGTATTTTCGTACTTGTGCACAAAGAAAGTTTATTATGTTTTATAATCTAGCCAAATTATAGATTTGCGATTTTTTCGGCTTGTAAAATGCGCGCCATATGATTTCGTTTGTTTGGTTAAAAATATCACTAGCCTGGGTATGCTGTCGGGAATGAAAAAGTGTCCAGGACACGATATCGGCGGAAAACATTAGTGGTCGCTTTGGCTGAACACATAGCCCCAAATTTTGAAGCGTGAGTATATAGTACTATTTTGGGTCTTACAAGAGTTATTCATTACATTGGGAGAGTCACTCATGGACAGTTCAGAACCCGTATTCTCAAAAGCTTCTCACGCTAGAAATTTTTATAAGGGAATATATTAGCCAATCTGAATGTGAGCCATGTAACCATCGAAGACGGATAACCAATAGAAAAACACAATTACCAAAAGTTTTTGCGATTTCAGCCCCAGAAATTTTCATTGGCTGTGGAGTCCGCGTCTTAGAGGCTCTTTTCCTCTGGGTATTACACCTACAGAACTCACGAATTCAAACAGGACAATTTAGCACGAAGTAATGCACATACTTTTCTTTCCACCGCCCTTATTTTTTGCCATTTCTGCGCAATTTCAACACGAACTCGTAGATCAGAGCCATCATTATTTCTGAGACCAGATACTTCATGACATAAGGCAGTTATCTCGAGAAACAGCGCGTTCCAGTCCGCAGGTAAGTGGCCGCCATCAAAGCCGTGCATGTGAACGATCTGTGTACAATAGAATCAGCTCGATCAAGAAAGAAGTATTGCACAAGAGCTCACAACGTGAAACGCGCAGAGGCAACAATCAACACTGGCTGTCAACCGGGCATCAAAAATCACAGGGAGAGAAAAAAAAAACACAAGTTAGTTCAGCATCGGAACAACAATAACAGGATACACATCTTGGATGAGGAAAGTGCATGCGGACAGGTGACTGACGTGGGCGTATGAGATACAACAACGTGCAGATGTGTACAGTACGTCGAGACACAAGAACGCGCTTCTATTTCAAGCGCTGGCTACAACCATTTCAATAAAGTATTGCCATAGAAAGCATGTCGATACTATAGTGCGTTCGAAAGCTACGTTTTTATTGGAAGAACTGCACTACAAGCTCTGCTTTGTTGTCTTTTGTGAGCGAGCTAATACAAAGAGGCAGTGCAAACGTAAAGCACTTGGCGGCTGTTTTCGTTCATGCCTAAATGCAGCGGCAACTGTCGCGTCAATCAAACGAAAAGCCCGAAAATGCGCCCACATAAAAATCCCTGTGCATAGGCACGAGTAGCACTGAAGTGTAAGTGACACTTGTAAAACACGCTGTCAGGCTGCATTTACAAGCCAGCTGAATCAACTCTTCGCGTTTACTCGAGGTAAAGTAAAACACGTCTTTGTAATGCAAGAGGTGTACTTTACTGTCAAGATCAGCGTATCATTCTTGTTTATGTCAATTTATAACAGAGCCTAAGTGACTGAGCTCAAATGTCTGCAATTATGGGCCTCACTCTGCTCGCTTGGTTGAGTACATCTTATTTCTGACGAAGCTCATTAACTGTTATTGGAAGTGTTTCGTAGGCTCAATTCGAACTGCTGTGTTTCAAAGGACCCCCTGCTGCATGCAAAAATGTATAAGAAAGGGTCCCGCGTAAGCGTGTGCCAGCGAAAGATGTCAGTGTCTTCGGACAATTTCCGAATCGCGGCATTATCAATTACCGCCCCCCCCCCCCAAAAAAAGCGGATGTTTTCCTTGTCGGAGAAAACTCCCTTTAATTATTTGACAAAATTTTTACAGTACTGGGCGCCTGAAAAATGCGTGTGCACGTTCGGTACACTGTGACGGCGACACATTAAAGTGCAGTGAAGTGACGTCACGAACATCTGTGATTGCAATTAACTGGGTAACAAATTTGATTCAGATGTTTCACATATAAGTGATGGAAATAGCGTGAGAAGTAATTTTATGTGCCACTTTAAAACTTGTTTCCGTTCATTATCAAGAAATATAGCATGGCGGGTAGATCGGAAACACCGTGAAAGTTCACTCACCCCCCCCCCCCCCCCAAAATGTGGCTGTTTTGTTTCTTCCAACAATTTTATGATGATTCTGTTAAGCGCTATAGTTTATATTCCAGCGTATTGCAAGTTCTCCAGGAATTCATTGAGTTGTAAGCGAATTATCGACGTACCGCGCAAGCACAAAAAGTAAAACGTAAAAACAAAAGCAGATAAAAGGGACAGGATTGATTACTCGCAAGGAACGTCCAACCAACCTACTTGGAATTCTTCGTAAACTTCCCATCATGAGCATCGTGCGGAATGGACGTGATGGGATATTTTGAAGCCGCGCTTATGAAAAATTGTGATTGTAGAGACTAGCTTCAGCATTCCAGCTCTTAAAAGACGTTTTTGATAAATCCCCCCCCCCCCCCAATCATCAGCTGCAGCGTGAAGATGGTGTAGCGATCAGTGTTGTAATGGGCAGGTGCAAATCAATAGAACACCGTGACCGTGTCCGCGAGCAAGCATTCACATGGCTGTGATAAACAGCTAATTAAGGATGAATAAAAATAACGAGTGCCAATTCGCTGTACGCATTCGCTCCCACTCCCAGGTCCCATTTTCTTACACAGGTGCCGGCCCGTTATGTAGCATATGAAGTAGTAAAATATGAAAAGAAACTCTCCTATTACCTTTTAATGTTCTTTATAGTCATAAATTTTTCGTTTTCCGCGTCGCGAAAAACCATTGTGCAAGCCATTATTCGGAGTCTCTCTCAAGAAGAAAACTAAATCATTCTTTTCCCTCAATACTTAAATGTGTCTCGCCACTGGAACCACTTTATGTGGCTTAGGTAAAATAAATAAATATAAGAAATAGTATGAAAAACGTGAATAGGTAACAAGCGTCGTGAATAAGAAAAGTGCGCATGGAAACAGAAGTCCAGGGTGACGAACTTCGTAAGACGCCTGTCTTACCTAACAAGAGATGTTCAACAGATGGAAAGAAATCGCTCTTACGATAACGGATGCCCCCCCCCCCCCCCCCAAAACAAAAAGTGTTATTTCTTTGTTAATTAAATGAACTGTGCATGCACACAATACAACCAGCTTTCAGGAAGAACAATGCGTGTTTGGGTCAGTCGTGGACAAAAAGACGAGAATTCTTGCTAGATCCTCGTGATCCCTTCGAAAAAAAAAATGTTTGTTAGAATCCAGTGTGTCGATCTGAGAAAAAGGAAACTTCGCGCTTTTTGTCATACCTGTCGCTCTCAAATGTCGGGTAATACACTGCAGAGCTGCACGAAATAGCTGGAGCTACAGCGTGACTGCTGAACGTTAACGAGGGCGCAAAAAAAAAGTTGGAGCTAAACTAGCAACCTCAAAAAGGGCGATTCGTTCGGTCGGAGGACCGCAAACAACCTGACAGGGCCTTAATACCAGCGCATCACACAACAGGCCTTTTCCTTAGCTATATATTGTTACGAGAAGAATATATTACGGTATGACCAGGAAGGGGTTTCCGTGTTGTCACTTATTTGTTGACCCTAGTCCCAGTAACAACAGCACAACCATCAAGTAGCCGCTTTCAGCTGACTTCGTAGAATGCACCGCTGGCCTCAGGCTACAAGAGTCTACCCGGCCCTGCTTCGATTCAGCGTCTATGACGGTAACTGAGGGTAAAACAGTCTTTCTTTGGCACACACAACCGCATTCGTGACGACAGCACCATACACGCGTTTCAGAGGGCATCCCGCGCGCAAAGCTGCGCCGACACGACCGCCATGGCCAGGGTCAGGTGATCGAAGAGCGCTGGCCAGAAGAACGACTGATGCTTGCCCAAGGTCGGGGTCGACGCGGCGTTGCTGTACTTGGAGCTGCCGTAGCGGGGGAAGTCCACCTCGGACTCGACCAGCCCTTCGTCCATCCGGGCCCAGGAACCGTTGTTAGGCTTCGGCTCGAGGCCGAGCGCGTGGCACATGAAGTTGTAGTGGTCTACGTTGGCCAGTGGTTTGATCACGTAGTCTCGCTTGATGCCTGTTGCAATGAAAACGCGAAATACGTAACTGAGAAAGTGAAGATAGCCTTATCAATATTGTGTTTTCTAGAGTAATATTATACGTATTGACAGGCTAATTAGGGCACAGTTTCAAAGAAAAACAATGCACAGTACGAACAGCATACGATCGGCTGTGAGTCAATGTGTCGGTTCTCGCCCTTGTATTTTGTCCGATTTTTGAGTTACCGTTCTTAGAAATTGCTATTTAGAACACGGTTTTAGCAATTTCAAAAATAGTCTGCTGAAGAGACATTTTCCGCGAGCAAAATAAAGGGACATATAAGAATAGTACACTGTGTACTACTCTGCTATACACAAATGAAGACACTTCTCAACACTGATAAAGCATGCATTCATTAGGTTCTTATTCAATAATCTTGGAAAGAATTATTATTTGGGTAGAAATGCGAAGGGGTTGAGGCTATTTAATGGCCACTGTGCTCGTCTTAATGCGCATACCGACTGATGAAGTCATACTGAAGACAGGCCGCTGACCTTTACCACGAAGTCTTCACACGCAGTAGTTATTTCAGACATGACTTTCTAAATAACTGTCCGCATAGGAGAGGTAGATATCATGGCGGAGGACGGCCACTCTTTATCTCTTCCCTAGGTAAAGCAAAGCGGAGCCAATAGCATTTAAAAATCTAGACTACGAAACGTGCCAACAAATGGCCCATAGAAGCTCAATTTAGTACAATATGAACGGGACATTGGAACGCAAACACTTTCATGGCAAGCAACAACATGACACAAAAAAAGTGACAACACGCATTATAAGAAGCTAGCCCCAACTATGTAATCGTTAGAGTCTTTTTCACTTTTGTCATATAACTTGAATGAACGCCGTATTTCATGTCCTGAACAGCACCGCTACACCACTGTCGAATCTCATGAGATGTCATGTGTCTCGTCAACGGGCAAGTCTTTGTCATCTTTTCTAGTATAGTGTCACGTGTGCTGCGTTTAGGCAGTGGGAAGGACATAATAACACGTGCTTTTAGACTTTCTCCATATAAATTCAAACTAAGGGATTAGAGATAGTGAGCTCATCTCTTAAAGTTATCTGTGCTACACCTTAGAATAAAAGACGACGTTTTGTTGAGCTCAAGGGCGTCTTTTCTTTCAATGAATTTCAATTTAAGCGAAATGCAATAGAAGATTACTCGTCTCTCTACAATTCGATGCACGTTATAATGATACCAGGGTTTTAACGTCCCAAAATTAATATACGATAGTGTGTAACGCCGTAGTGGAGGACTCCGGAAATTTCGACCATTTGGTGTTCAGTGCACTGACATGGGATGCGCTTTAAAAAAGCCGGAACGGTCCGATAGTCTTGAGGTGCCTAATACAGCGTTCTTCAAAAACACACGGTGGTTTTAGCGCGTAAACCTCAGTGTTGAGCGTGGAGCACATTCGGGGGCCGGTCTTTTGTATGCTGTCGTCGTCGCTTGATGTGTGGCACATTGAGTGCGCACTCGGGCCACGAGTTCTTCTTGTTCTCCTCCTCTTGAGGATCCCTTATCATCGTGAGAAAAACAATGCGCTAGGTGAATACACAACTCAGGCAAAATCACTTATAAAAAAAGAGATCAAGCAATCAATATGTAGAAAGAGAGAAAAAAAGAAAAAGTTGAGAAGACATAGAGAAAAAAGGGGACAAAGGCAAGAAGAGAGCAGGATAGAAAACAAACAAACATAAGGAACAAAGAGACAATCTTAGTGCAAAGCTGCTTTGATTTTTCAGTCTTGATTCCAAAAACTGAAGATAAATTCCGCATCCTAGTATAGGCAGCATATGTCATTTGTATACTGCGACATTACTTTTTTTTACAGGCTGTAGCGTCAGGAACACGCTCAGCTCGTCCACTTCCCTTCAGCAGGGGCTGTTCAGAGCCTTCGCACGGCTCTTCGATTTTTTTTTTTTTTACGGGTTGGCCGCGATTAACGATAACGTACCACGTGACTACCTCTGCTCGTCGTGATGGTGCGCGATATCGGTAATATCGGTGCGCTGCTCTGCGCTGTCACGTGCTGTTCCACCGTTGTGCCCATTCGCAAGCGTATGTGGCGCCAGCCAAGCTCTCCTCGGCGCGAAAAAATTGGTGCAACGAACGTAGGCCTATGCAGACATGTAACGAACTTGTAATTTGGCTTGTGGTTTACCCGTGGTCAGTGATGGAAAGTATAATTTTGCATCGACAACCGAAGCAATCTTGATAACAGAAAGTAACATTAGTGATACCTTTCCCTTGCCTTCGGGCATTTTCGTCGTCGAGCAACAGCAGCAGTTGCAGCAAGATTCCAGTTGAGTTAGACTTTTCGCCCCATCGGGGAGACAGCAGCAATGCACAAGGCATGAACGAAGTTGAATAGGTAAGGGCAAATAATTTTTCAAATGTCTTTTTTTTTCTGCTCAATTATGATTTACAACTTCCTGTTGGAACCCTGAGGCTGCAATTCAGGCCTCAAGCTAATGTGCGTGACTGTATACTGTTTAACGCTAAAAAACACGGCATGAAAACAAAAAGAGTGGCGAGTAGATGCACTTCTATGGCATATATACGCGTTCCGTACTTTTGTAACGTGCTTTTTTTTAAAGAGTTGTAATTCGGCTGGTTCGATCTTTACGCGCGTCACCTAAAGAATGCACACATGCTCCGCCGCGGTGGTCTAGTGGCTAAGGTACTCGGCTGCTGACCCGCAGGTCGCGGGTTCAAATTCCGGCTGTGGCGGCTGCATTTCCGATGCAGGCGTCTCTCATAATCATATGGTGGTTTTGGGACGTTGAACCCCCCATATCAATTAAAGAAGGCACACGTTGACCACCTACGTCTGCCTACGATGTACCTTTCGTTTCTTTTCTGGTACTTCTTATTCATCTATAAAGAATCGAAGTCACGTTGTTAACACGATGAAGTCGTCAGTTCTCGGGATGCACGACTGAACGAACAGCTTCTGTTTTTTCTCGACTCTGCGTCCGTTTTAATGACGACATGCAAAACACAAATGAAGAAGAATTGAAAGCTGGACTACGTGATGACAGTTTTTGAGCATACAAAGCAGCGAAACCATGACGCGGACCAAGAGAAAAGGTGACAAACCACGACGCTGATTTGCAATTGAACTTTTAATAAAAGCACATGACATACAATAATTATTTTGCATGATATCAAGTTTACTCTTCTAGATAATAGATTATCTTAACATTACCTTTCTTGCAGATTACGTGTGGCTTTTTTACGCGTTTTTTTTCATATGCAAGAGTAAGCTGTTCTGCCCCTCCCCCTCCCTTTTTTCATTGTTTTGCTTTAAGAAGGTCGCATGGGTGTTAGGGTGACAGTATTCAGCGCAGTGGTTTGTCCCCCCTTCCATTTTTTTTTGGTCTACGTTATGATTGCGCCTTGTGACCGTATCTTCGAAAACACCACGAGTGAGCCTGGAGTTAGGAGCTATAGACGACACTGTGACAAGGAGCAACAATTTTGACTTCTGAGAGCGCCGTACAAGTGATGCGAGTAGCCAACGCAGGCAGATACGGTCACTCGATTGCTGCCTTTACACCTTGTTGGATAAGCGGTTAAGGTGCTCGGCTGCTCACTCGAAGGTCGCGGGTTTGATTCCGGCCGTGGTGGTCACATTTCGAAGGAGGTAAAATGGTAGAGGCTCGTATATCGTGTGATGTCAAGAGCACGTTAAAGAAACCAGTTAGTCCAAATCTCGGCGTTTCTCCCAATCAAACCGTGGTTTTAGAACGTAAAACTCCAGGTATTATTATTCTACCTAGTTTACCTCCTCTTGTAGACGCTGCCCTTCTGTGCGCTCCAGTGTATCTTATCGCCTGCACGATACCGGTCACCGCTTACTTTCTCAAGCTACGAATGCAATTCACCCGTTCGCGAATTAGCCATCAAGCCACAGTTGGTGCCAGATATTCATCTACCAGCCTAATGTGGGTACACAGTAGTATTAGGGCTTCTCTAAGAAAAGTTCCATGTTGTTCGTGTTGCATGAACTGACGCTATCTTGTGCGTTTATGATTTCCGTACTGCATTAATGCTCGCAATTCACTTGATGGTGTTGAGCTTCTCTTGCAACTATTGTGTTCCAGCATAGCATCGGTGGTTATCTGCTACAGATCTTTTCCTAATATAATTTTGAATGCCGGTTGAACAATTTGTATTGATAACGTGTTCTAAATCCCACGGCCATCGCCAATTTTCTCAACATCACGCCTGCGATCTTTGTTCTCTATTCTTTTTTTTTTCGTGGCTGGTGTGAGGCACAGTATAATGCACTAACTTTGCGTATTCAAGAAGTGTATTTCACAAACCTGGGCCCTGGGCATAGAAGATGGTTCTCATTTCGGGAAGCTCAGGATCGTAGCCGTGGTAGCCGAAGAAGCGTTTCTTGTGGTTCACTTTTGTTTTGGTGTTGTCGCTTAGCTGGAATGGAGATTGAGAGAAAGGCGCTCGCTGCTGAAGATGTGGGATCTCGCATGCTGTGATCGAGCCACAGCAGAATTTTCTGCAAGCCTAATAAGTAAAGGGCTACGGTGTTCCTGTTATCTCGTCATGCTTATACAAACGAATGTACCTTAAACGTAACACGTGGTTCTGCTTGTTACAGCGAGTAGACATGACCATCGAAATAAGTCCTTCGTTAAAATGGATTATCACTGAGCCATTTCGGGCAAGCACACTGCCCGAAAACTTTTCAGCTGGCCTGCTTGTACGAAAGGTTTAGTTGTCTGCGGAGTGGGTCAATCGTTGGCGTCATGTCCACAGGCTTCGCTGCAGCGACACCACGGGACATGACGTCAACAACTAAGCAGCTTAAAACTACCACGTCTTTGGTAACGAAGCGCCCATGAGAAAGATAGGCGCCCATGAGTTAGAAACTTTGGGCAGGATGCCACAGGTGGCTTCTGCTCATTTAACCTATCCTTACATTATATTCCAATCGAGTTATGCTATACGAAAGCAATTGGGATCAGTGGCAAGCAGTAACGAAACATCAAGGGCACTTCCAGAGTTTCTCAGATATTTTGTAGCGTACGCATCTCACCGGCAAAATGAAGTACTTGGGCGTGGTCATAAGAAACAGAGGCAGCACTCGTGGACTGTGCTTGATGTGGTATCTCGCTGGAATCTCGTCCTTGGTGTAGACCTGCAGGCCTTCTACGCGAGCATCGATCAGGGCACGATGCAGCTGGTGCGACGCGAACCAAAAAAAAAAGAAAGGGAGAGACGAGGAAAGGAGTGAGTTAAAGGGAGCAAATAGAAGGTGTCCAACCTCAAGAGGCCAGAAGAGAGTAGCGACTGCTTCTGGGCCGATATCGACATTTTGCCAGCAGCCACCGATTGGAATCGTTAACCCTCGAAACAAATTGAGGCAGCTGGCATACTGTGGGCTTAAAGCTCATTTTACTATATATGCTCGTAGAACTAGTCTGAGCACCATGTGGCAGGTGATTTGATATACTCAGAGCAGCGCCCACAGAGATGTTTTTGTGTGTACATAGATATGATATGCAAATGTTTTTTTTTGTAGCCACTTGTTCTCGTCTTCAGTCGAAGTTCGTTTCGAAAAAAAAAACGCACAACAACGTACAAATGCAATTCGACGTATGCCCAGGTAGGGGAAGAAATCAAGCCAAACAACAACGCAAAAGAGGACACCCTCTCTCAAGATCTCACATTGAACTTTATGGGGAAAGAGCAATGATTCCTATAGAAGTCAGATGCACCAAAAGCTGCCGGGATCAAAAGTTGAAAAAATGACTTATTCTACCGAAAGCCTCGAAATATTGTTTATCCAATCCCTATTTTTTCCCCAAAGCTTTTTCATACCAGAACCAAACAAAAAAACAAGATGAAGTGTTTGAACCTATACCTGCGGAAAAAAAATTTCATAATTTTCTTACCTCTACCTGTATAAGGATTTAAGGAAAGTAAGGTGTAAAATGTTTTATCGCATTTTAATGTGCACTATACCAGTAGTCTGTCTGAAGAACTTTCGAAAAACAGCGTGAAGTGATGCAAGGATATTGGGTAACTTAAGTACTAGGTACTTTATGTAGGGTTAGCTTTAAAAGCTGTAATAGATACTATTTACCAACAGCAGTGTCTAATTTATGCGTTAGAATTTTGTTTCTCTAAAAATACGCTTCACTTTTCTGATCACCTAATTTGTACAACTTCTTTTTGGGGCAACCTAATTCAGAATCTTGTTTATTGAACACGAATAGCTTCAATAACTGCAAAAAGTTTCCTTCAAATAATTCAATGGTTACATATAACAAATATTTCTGCGCTTCACACGCGTATTTCAAGAATAAACGAACAATATCAGGCCGCCTAGATACTGTGCATAAAGCGTAGGAAGCCGCTTTTATTCAAAATTGTGCGCTTACTCTTCTCGATGGCGCGAAGTGCAAGGTGCTTTAGTAGTTCAACAAACCACTAAGTGGACTAGTTGCAACGGTTATTTATGTTGTTGTAGAATCAGAGCCTATGAGGATTGAAGTCCCCTTTTGTTTGACAAATTTTCCCATTAGGTTATATTTTGAGCTCCTTTCGCTACTCACCCTTACGGTACGAACGAGTTGAAAGCCGTCAAAGCGGATGGTATAAGTTAGAAGGGGACATCGCGCGTGCACAACCGCACTAAGTCATCGTGGCATAGAAAGTATCACTCTGATTGTAGCCATGAGGAATGTTCGGAACGCGGGGTGTCGCTGGAGATAACGTGTTTTCTTCAAGGCCTTAAGGAAAACGAGATGGCCTGCCGAAACGCTGCCTTCAACGACACGCTGTGTCCCAGATATTTCTGATCCCTTTAAGCTTCCATCATCATCCGAACCTTACCTGGTTATCCCCTCGTCAATATAGAAATTTTCGCTTGGGACATTATTTAACGTGAACGCGTCAAACAATAGAACAAAGTGCTTACCGGTCGGAACATGTCCTTCCTCGGAAGCACCATAGAATGGGACCCGAAATTGAGCATGTACTTAATGTACGGCGAGTACTTGTCCAGCATGATGTCGGTGGTGGACTCGGGTCCCGTGTTGGCAATGCCATGATCCGAGACTACCATAAGAGTCACCTGCGTATACAGTATAGTTACCGCCATTGCAGTAATTAAGCTTGGCCACTAATGACACCGTAAGCTTGTCTTGCATTGAAATAGTGAAATATCGGTAACATTGGCTGTTTACCATTTGCTAGTCTACTTTATGAATATTAGTCTTTTTTTATTTTTGTGGTCATGTTTGCGAACGCTGCCTTTTAAAACCTACACAATAATGACGTATACGTATACGTTAGTGAAGGTATAAATTTGCTATGGCTAATAACACGCTTCGGTTAATGCATCACGCCGCACTGCTATAGATAATGTACGCGATGCTTGTCCTGTGTTTTTGTTCTCCTGCTCCCTTTGCGAACAACTTCGATGCTGGTTCCTAATTACCTTGTGCAGCGCAACTCGCACGCAGCAGGGCTTGCGAGGCAATGTTGTTTTTCGCTTCCTCGCTTCATCGCCAAAATCTCGATAGCCTATACCAACGGGGACAGGGTGACGAAAACCCGTCGAGAAGCTGCCAATGCAGCATTGCTTGTCGGCTGGTGTTGTGACGCTATAACATTAGAGATTAATTTTTTATCATATGTTTATACAGATTCTTCATCGGTTAGCTTCATTTTTTTCGATATTTTCATAGAATTGTCCCTTCAGCATAACAGAAACTAACGGCAATATCATATCGCAAGATCTACATATATGCTGCCTCAATAGTGGTTGAAAATCGTGAAGCGGTACTAAAGCCAAAGAAAGATTTAATTTCATGAGAATTACGTACACTGTAGCCATACTTCCTGTTTGCCACACCTATATTTTAAAATGCCCTACTCCCGAACAGGAAGGGGCGTGCAGTCAGCCCCATACATTGACATAATAGGGAGTGGGGGTGCTGCCATGACCCTTCGTCCCCCCTACGCATGCCTAGGCTTACTGTATGGTTCTGGTGGGACGTCACTACAACCTTCGCTGTCAGCGTTGGACGTGCCAGTGATAGATCTCGATCGGGACAATGAGGATTTAGGTAGACTTTTGAAGTGAATTAAAGTATATTTCGAACGTTTGCTGTATCCGACCATTAGACCATTCGGCGGGAGTGTCCTTACATACAGAGTAAATTCAAAAGAAGCTTGTTATTGCCTCTTATTTTAAGGGCATCACCCTTTTCAGCGTTTTCAAGTAGCTTGTTACGATAAGTTCACAATTCAAACTTTGAAGAGAAGGCGGACGCACATTGCGCAATACGTGTTCTATATAATTGGTAAGCATGCTGACCTTTTGTGTGAGGTTTAATGCTTCTAACTGGTCAATGAGATAATTCAAATGGTGGTCGAATTCCACCAACGCTTTGTGCCTCTCCTTGCTCTCTGGACCACGGTGACGACCTGTAAATACAAGGAAATGTCAGTTTTAGAAATATGTTTAGAAATATCAGCAGGAATAGCTCAACCAGCAGTTGAAACATTGGTTGATGCATACGTTAAGCCTATTCGCAGAAAATTTCTCGAAACGGTCGAAGATTTTGTCACACTACGAATCACCAATCTGTCGCAACGCTAGAAATTCGCTTCGCGAGCCCGCTCATTTTTTAAATGCCAGCTGACGTTATATAATGAGAACGAGGTTGTTCTTGATATAAATATTTGGGAGTTACACGTGAGGCTGAAGTACCGTTGCAGGAACCGAGACTCCTAAGTACCACTGAAGTCTTGGTTGTTGTCGGGATAACTGATCTCCTGCTCAAATGTATAGAAATTAAGCCGAGAAGAGCGTTTATAACAAAGCTCCCGAATACAATTGAAAGCACTTCACCTCTTTTGAAGAGTCAAAATTAAATTAAAAATATAACCTGGCGTTTACAAATTCGTCACATTGCACATAAAGCCAATATTCCTTCTATAAACCACATTACGTGTCAGGGTCAAACTCGCGCGCGCGCACCCCCCCCCCCCCCCACACACACACACAAAAAAAGGGGGATAGCTTGAACTGCAAAACACATTTCCAACCTGCTACTGTTGGCTAGGGTGAGGTGAAACGAGAAATATAGAAATAAAAAGCTGTAAAAGCTGCAGATGCAGGTGAATATGTTATTGATTGATTTGATTGATTTGTGGGGTTTAACGTCCCAGAACCACCATTTGATTATGAGAGACGCCGTAGTGGAGGGCTCCAGAAATTTTGACCACCTGGGGTTCTTTAACATGCACCCAAATCTGAGTACACGGGCCCACAACATTTCCGCCTCCATCGGAAATGCAGCCGCCGCAGCCGGGAATCGAACCCGCGACCTGCGGGTCAGCAGCCGACTACCTTAGCCACTAGACCACCGCGGCGGGGCGTGAATATGTTATCGTACAATAAGCTTCTTTTTGCGCGCTGTCCTATGCGTGGCGCTCGTGGTCGTTTTGCTAGCTCAGCCTATACCAAATTTGGTATTACTTGAAGTGAATAGACGACAACGGTAAATGACATGTCAAAACATGATAATCATGGCATGCATGTCATGTAAAAAATGACTACATGCTACGATCTTAGCACGCTCGCAGCCGTTTCACTAGTTCCGCATATACCCAATTTGGTGTCACGTGACGTGAATACAGGACGAAAGTACATGACACATTCAAACATGATAATCATATAGAAGTCATGTACTGTATAATTTACCTCCACCTCGTGACGTTGTTCTGATTTTAAATTGACACATCGACCTTCCTCATTTGTCTTTCCCATATCATCGATTTCCACTGTGCGTGGGATCTGCCAATTTTTAAGAAATGACATCACAATCACGTCTGTTTCTAACGCCCGCCCAACAGTACTTGCCGCTGTGGAACCTGAAAAGGGGCATGACGTAAACTTGCTTCGAATGTTTAAGCGAGAAATCACGCAGTTTTCCGTCATGCGATCGCCAAGATGGCCGTGTTGCTGTCGCTGTCACACACTGAACTTAACGAAACCTGTGATTTTTATTATTTTTATTGTTTGTCTCGTACACATTTCACAAGCGTTGATTCAGCGGTGTGCACCCTAACCCTGGCTACACCTCTTGAATTCGTCTCATGCGGGCGTTCAGACGTCTAAATGCTACACAGAAAAAGGGCATCGTTATACTTAACTGGAGCTGAGAAATTAACGCCGAACATTATGGAAAGGTCCCACATAAAACTTTTTTATACAAAAGTGTATGTTGTCACAATGTTCTCGCATTTTTTTCGTGTGCGCTAGACTTCCCAGTTACATGTCCCACCCGAATATTTTGGACGTTTCTATAAGTTGTGTCATTGGTTGGGTTCTCATACTGTGTAAATATGACTCTTTTACCTTTTAACGGAACCTGGTATTAGATAGCCAGCGAAATTTAAAGGGAATTCTTCGCAGCACACCAATTCACATTGTGTATTTGATATAAGTTATTTTACTCCCTTTTTAGAACTAATTGACACAGCATGAGCTCTAATGAACACTGCTCACTCAGAACATTGACGATTCATGAAATTAACGAGAAACCTCTTTTGCATCAAAAAAGCCTGCATCAGGCTGCTTGTAGTTATTTAATGACTGGAAGTGTTTAGATTGGCATGGCCGATTAAAATACTTCCCAGTTGGATCAGTTATGACAAGTTGTTGGGCGAATTCATTCGTTATTTTGGTTCTGTTATTATTCACACGTAGTATCCCAGCAAAATTATAGTAGATATAATTTTGATGTTGCTATTTTCTAAAAACAGCTACCCCTTTTGCCTGATTATTAGCCAAAAAAAAGCAAGAAATAAAAGCATTTATCCTATTTACTTAATACCAACATGCTCAGGTCGGCCTACCGGTAGTACTAACATCTACGCAATAGTCAGATGCCATTTTCGCATTGGAAACATCTTCGGCATTTTCATTTTTACACTTTCCTAGCGCACGTGCTGCTAAATAACATTGAACACATTTCAGTGCTCAGCCGTAAGTGGTAGCGTAATAAAGCTCGCACTGTAGTAGAGGGCTGTGAAGTTATTTGGACCAACAAGTTTTGTTTGAGCTAAATTGAACTACTCATGCGTATTTTCACACTAACTAAATTGCACTTTTTCGTACATAAAAAACGCCTTTTCTGCGTGTACATATGATTTACGCTTACCGAAGTATGCGACTGCGCCGTATTGAAGCATGGCCAAGCTGAGCTCGTCGGTGTCGAATACCTCGAGCACCTCGTCCAGCTTGTTCCGGAAGTCGTGGTCCAGAGAGCGCCAGCCCGGAACGGGACGCTGGGGCATGCAGATGGCCGGCCGCGTCCTGTTCAAGGCCACCTCGCAGCCTGGCCACCTGTGGTGCGAGTGAATGTGGCAATATTGTTCTATGAAAAAAATAAAAGGACTTCATTTGACTCTTCTACTGTACATGTGAAAGTCCCATGTGTAGCACTCCTATTATGGAGAGGCGCGTTGACTCTCTAAAGAAGGGCTTTCAAACATGTGGACCGCGGACACTTTGAGCCCCGCCATGGTGGTCTAGTGGCTAAGGTACTCGGCTGCTCAACCGCAGGTCGCGGGATCGAATCCCGGCTGCGGCGGCTGCTTTTTCGATGGAGGCAAAAAATCTGTATGCCCGTGTGCTCAGATTTGGGTGCACGCTAAAGAACCCCAGGTGGTCGGAATTTCCGGAGCTCTCCACTACGGCGTCTCTCATAATCGTATGGTGGTTTTGAGACGTTAAACCCCGCATATCAATCATCAGCGGACACTTTGATAGCAGCCCACCGAGCACATGATGGTCTTCATTCCATTTTTTTTTCAGGAAGTTTACTGATGAGTTAAACAGACGTTATTGGTCTCAATCATCTTTTCTTGAGGCACCTCATGTCCTGACCGTGCTGTAAAGCACAACTGTGGAACAAAAACTGTGTATTTCAGGATAGGCGTCCACATTTAAGTAATCCTGGATATCAGTATGTACATGTTTCTTGCATCTAATCCCTTCATTATTGATTGTTATGATACACTTCATTTAAAAATGCTTTGTTTCCAACGGCAACGTTAGTTGAAATTTCGGAGTTCAGCTGCGAACTTTGCTTTTGTTCTGGCTCTCGCAGGTCTTAATTTCGACCAACTAGCTGAGGGGAGTTTAAAACTCCTGCTCAAAAGTGAGCTCTACACACGTTGCTATTGCATGCATAAAAGGTGAGGCCAAAGAACCCTAATAAAAGTCCTTGGAAGTGTTTAGCGGATACCATGGTTCTCAAAAGAATGACAAAAATAGCATAGCGAATGACCGCCTACTACACAAATAAACTCATTAATATGGACCTAGCAAGTGCGCCTGCAGTAGTTACTCAATGAGTGTTCCGAAAAGGCTCTGAAAGGCCGCTCTTGTAGCTTTCGCTGTGACTGTGCTGCGCCTTCCGGGCAGGCCTGGCGTTTTTTAAAGACGATAGTTTTTCTTGGGGACCTTCGAGGCAGAAATTTTAGTCTGTGTGTCTGTCTGTACGTTTGTCTCTTTGTCCGCCCTTAACGGTACTTTAAACGACATCAAAGTGGCCAAACAATACTCCAAATGGCCGACCCCATCCGCAGTGCCCGCCAATATTGCTCAAAGTTCAGCTTCATACTTGTGCGATTGTCAAATATATAGCAATTATGGCGCATATATGAGGCACCATAACAACACGTCAATAATATGTATGTGTATTTTTTACTAGAAAATGCAGACAACTTGTCATGTGTTTGATGTAAAAACAAGAAGTATGGCCATCGCAAAAAAAAGGAATTAAGAATTGACGGTGAACATATGGAATCGAATGCAACGGAAAGTCAGACCTTATCACCTCTTTCTCAATCTACGTGGTGTATAAATACATAGTGAGTTGGACAGCAGGACCGGAATCAACAAAAACCACCTTTATGAATGTGTATCAGGTGTAGTGGGGTATTCGCAAGGCAATGACTAGTGGGACCATCGCTGAGTGCGAAGCGCGAGCGGGTGCACGAGCTGTAGACGCTGGACTGCCCGAGCACTTGTTTCCGTACCGCCTGTCTGCCTATTACCTGACGTCGCTATCAAACCCCCTTGCAAAGTGGTGGAGGTGCCGGGGTACGCAAACCTGGAACTTCGAAGCCGGAAGCTTCCCACTGCATCAGCAATGCCTGATCAGACGACCGAGCAAGGCACCACCCAGCAAAGCACGGCCCAATCTCAACTGGTCATCGTGCCTACCACCCTGCGCCAACGAGATCCGCCATTCTTCAGCGGCACCGAGGACCAAGATGTGGAGGACTGGTTGCAGCTGTTTGAAAAGGTGAGCGCCACCAACAAGTGGGACGACCCCTCGAAATCGGAGTATGTCCCATTTTATCTCAAAGACGTCGCCAGCCTGTGGTTCACAAACCACCGTACTGAATTTATCACTTGGGCCGGTTTCAAGACCACCCTCGCAGCTGTGTTCGATCGCCCCGCAGTGCGCAAGCTGCGTGCTGAGCAGCGCCTACGCGGACGTGCACAAAGGCAGGACGAAAACTTCACTAGCTATATTGAAGATGTAATCGATCTGTGCCGGCGCTTTAACCCTGAGATGACCGAACATGACAAGATCAGGCATATCTTGAAAGGCATAGACGATGATGCCTATCAAATATTGCTGGCAAAGGGCCCAATCACCGTAACCGAACTTTTGACCTTGTGCCAGAGCTTGGAAGAGATTCGGAAACAACGTGCAGCAGTTCGGAGGTCGACGACAGCAGACGACTCTCTCGCTGCCCTGGCCGTCGGTGGTGACAGCTCCCTGCTGGAGCAGATAAGAGAATATGTACGAGAAGAGGTCGCACGACAGCTTTCGTGTCTCTCGTATCTGCCGACCACCGATGCACCAACGAACCGCCTAACGCCGACAATCAGACAGGCTATTCAGGAGCAGGTCTCCGAGGCGTTGCCATTACCTACGCCTGCCTCTCCACCAACGCCTGTTGCCGCGCCACTGACTTATGCGGCCGTCGCGGCAATGCCTCCATCTCGTCTGCCAATGTATACGCCACAACCCGTGCGACCGTCCACCGTGCCGTTTCCAGCTACACAGCAGCACGCCGGAAATCCTTGGCGCACTGCTGACAACCCGCCAACGTTACTACTGGCGGGGTATGTACACGTTTGTACGCAAACACATTCGCTCATGTTCCCAGCGTCAGCAGCGCAAGACATTCCCTCATTCACCCGGTCAACTGCAGCCTTTGCCATGTCTTGCACGCCCATTTGATCATGTTGGGATTGACCTATACGGCCCGCTACCGTGCTCTGTCGGTGGTAATCGATGGGTGATTGTGGCTGCCGACCATCTGACAAGGTACGCCGAAACGGCAGCGCTACCTTCGGCTGGCGCTCGTGACGTTGCAACCGTCATCTTGCACCGGTTTGTTCTTCGTCATGGTGCACCACGGGAGCTCCTGAGTGACAGAGGTCGCGTATTTTTGTCCGAAATTCTGCAGCAGCTCCTACATTCATGCCGTACGGTACACAGCACATCAACAGCCTACTACCCTCAGACGAACGGCCTAACGGAACGTTTCAACAGAACCCTCGGAGACATGCTCGCTATGTATATTGATTCCGACCACTCCAACTGGGACGTTGTTCTTCCTTTTGTGACGTACGCCTACAATACGGCGATTCAATCAACAACAGGCTTTTCTCCATTTTTTCCTTTATATGGTCATGACCCATGCAACACACTTGACACAATTCTGCCATACAATCCTGATGCCTCCGAGTTCAGCCCAGTTTCTGAAATGGCCGAACATGCCGAAAAGTGTCGTCAGCTTGCACGGTCCTTCACAGCCGATAACCAAGCCCTCCAAAAAGATCGCCACGACCATGACCTTGTTCAGAATACCTTCCCCGTCGGTTCTCTCGTGTGGCTTCGACTGCCTTTCCACTCTCCTGGACTGACTCCCAAGTTTGCACCGAAGTATACGGGCCCTTACCGCGTCACACAGCACCCTTCTTCTGTCACCTATGTGATTGAACCGCTCAAGCCGTCCACGGACAAGCGCCGCCTTGGTCGTGAGACGGTCCACGTCAGTCGCCTCAAGCCCTGTTACGACCCTCCTGTTCTCTCGTCACCTTGAGTCACCGGGATGGCTCGTCTTCGTCGCCGGGGCATTGTAGTGGAGAATTCGCAAGGCAATGACTAGTGGGACCATCGCTGAGTGCGAAGCGCGAGCGGGTGCACGAGCTGTAGACGCTGGACTGCCCGAGCATTTGTTTCCGTACCGCCTGTCTGCCTATTACCTGACGTCGCTAGTAAACCCCCTTGCACAGGTAACAAACCAACAAAAAAATCCTAACCAAGTTCTCATATATAGACACATTTCTGACTATGTTCAAGTACCTGCATTAAATACCTGAATATAAGCCCAATACGCACAAGCTTGTCTTTCCAACATTTTTGTTTACAAGAAACTGGTGCTTTTTTATGGTTCGAGGACATGAAAATTTCCTGCCACAAATGTCTTAATCATTTCTCGCAAGGTGGATACATGTGTCCTTGTTTCCTACACAAATGCGATGTATCAAAGTTTATACTACTTTGTCAGTGTTCGAGTGTGCATCACAGATGACTGTGATCCACTTGAGAATTAGAACATTGCAGCAGCGTTCGCCAATAACGAAGTGATTTGACGTGAGACGTTTAGTGAAGTCTTCTATCATAGCGAATGAACGAACGGACAAATGAATGAATGAGTGAATGAATGAATGAATGAATGAAACATACGTACCAGTAGACAGCAGATCTCAGTCTACGTCTTTCAGCTAGCAGCCAGATGGGCTCGGCGGCCTCCCACCAATGGGACCATGGCACTGAGCTACCTGCCATCTGCACGCCCAAGAACAAGTCTCGCTTGTCCGTGTCATACATGGCATCTGCAACTATTCCATGGGACTCAGGATACAGGCCTGTAAAATACGGCGACGGGAGAAAATGCGAAAAAATAAAATCAGTGTTCAACCCAACAATCCACAACGTGTACGTGTAATCTTCTAGTACTTAACGTTGCTTAGGATAAATTATACGCTCGGCTCTTTTATGAAGCACGGGTCTTATGCCTTAATTGATCGTCTGTTGGGCACTGTCAATGGGGAGAGAGAGAGAGAGATAAAGATGCAAGAAAAGGCAGGGAGGTTAACCAGACGCACATCCGGTTTGCTACCCTGCACTGGGGAAGGGATGAAGGGGAGAAAAGAGGTTGCAGAGAAATGAAAAGGTACACACAATCACGAGCACTCTCAGGGAGCACACACAGTCTGCAGGCGGTCGCTCAGGTTTGTTGATTTTAGGTAAAGTAGCAGTGCTTTAGTTGCTTTCTGCGCAACTGAGGCAGATGCCTAAGGTCCTAGTATCTTCTGCACACAAAATGGTCCGGGGTCAAGTCGATTCAAAACCATCCGTAGCTGGCATCGCTGTGTGTCGTAGCAAGCGCAGCTGCACAGGACGTGTTCGATGGTCTCTTCAGCTCCGCAGTAGTCGCATGTAGAAGTGTCTGCCATACCAATGCGAAAGGAGTACACCTTTGTAAATGCAACACCCAACCAAAGGCGGCATAACAGTGTCGCATCGGAGCGGGAAAGTTGTGATGGTAGCTTTAGCTTGAGCGAAGGATCCAGTTCATAAAATTGACACCTTTGGAAGCTGGTAGACGACCAGAATGTGCGTGTGAGATCTCGAGCCACAGGTAAAGTCAATGGGGATGCAGTTATTAAACACTTGCTCTTTACTTCGTTCAGTCTTTATTCTTCACTTCTTTCATTAATGCGGTGTCCACAGAAAGCGCCAACAGTAATGACTGTTGTAGTTCATCAAATAAAGCATTGTTTCGCATTAAGAAACTCCTGCATAAAAGTCAGGTTGTCACTGCCAGTTGTTAAAGTAATGGAAGCTACGGTTAAAAGCAAACAATCATTTATCACCAGGCAGTTTGTGTTCTGGCATGTTCTTTATTTATACCTGTTTACCTCCACGTGTAGATCCCACACTCAAGGCGAAAGCAAGTCTTATAGTACGCTTCATTCAAGCGGCATTTCCACCCCGGTCTTATGCCCCCTGGCATTTGCACCCCGGTATTTGCAACATGGTAGGCTGACTGCACATGAGATGTGCTCTTAGGATTATTTATTTTTATGTTCGACTCCCGTAAAACTGAAACAAGAAATGTTGACAAATGAATTGTCACGCATTGCGGGTATCAATGTCATACAAAGAGGTCAGTAAGTATCATGCTAGACTTCTTGTTTTTACCCAAGCATTACTAACCAATTGTGATTACGTTACGTATTTGTGTAAAGTGAGTAGTTGTACGCGTACCGTTATTTTACCAGGCACACACAGCACAGTGGTGTGTAAAAATTGGCCCCGTATCTGCATGTTTCGCTGCAAATGTCGTCGAAAGATGATAGTCCTGCGTGTGTAGAAAGTGAACGAAACGTTTATATGATGTTCTGCGCGAGAAAATTGGAGATTGTATTCTGGAAGCGCTGCGTCATAGAGTCTCGATCCGTGCAGCGAAGGCGAGCGAGCGCATCGAGGCATGTTAGGTACGAGCGCCATCTGGATGTTATCTTCGAAAACGAAGGAAGGCGTGAGCGCCCGCGGAGAAAGATGCGCGCCTGTCTCGAAAGCGATAAGGAGTAGAACGCAAAGCGACGGGCAGGTGCCACCACCGTGTTGTCTTAGCAAAGCGTTGGAAGCGCTTGCCTTTTTGTGCATCGCGTAGCACTGTCAGCGCAGCGTGATAAATGTTACGGTCTTTAGAATTGTTTGTTTGCCATGCCTTCTCTAACACTGACGTGTTGTTATGGTGCCTTAGACATGCGCAATAATTGCTTTTCAATTGACAATCGCACAAGTATGAACGCTAAAACTTGAGAAATATTAGTGGTCGCTGCAGATGAGGTTGGCCGTATGAGGTATCGTTTGGTGCCTTTAGGCGAATCATTACCATGGACAAACAGACAAATGTGAAGACAGACAGACAGACAGACAGACAGACAGACAGACAGACGGACGGACGGACGGACGGACGGAAGGACGGATGGACGGACCAGAATTTTGGCGTCGAAGGTCCCCAAGAAAGACTAACATCTTTAAACGTATCATTTAGTGCGATGAAACATCGGCCTGCACGCCAAAGAAGATACGTCAGTTTTATCGTATAAACACCACGCTGTGGTGCGACAATGTACGTGTTATAATCAGTGGTCGGAGGCGCATTACAGCCACGCTTGTCTCTAGCTTGCGAGGACATGAGTGCACATATAAAATTTGTGTTGCATTGATCTGGCTTGAAAAAAAAAGAACTGGAAATTTAAGGGCTCGTTTTTGTGCGTTACACTAAATATTATTGAGAACTAACAGACAATGGAAGCAACAAAAAGGGAGAAGGCAGGGAGGTTAACCAGAAAGACATCCGGTTGGCTACAACCGGATGTCTAACAGACAATGATAACTAACAGACAATGATGCCAAGGAAAGTATAGAGGATGATATTAGAAGTAATTGTAATGTGGTTGGGAAGAAATAGAAGTGGACGAAATTATAACTTGCTGTGGACAGGGTCTGAACCTGTGACCTTGGAATGACGCGTCCGATGTGTACTCTATCAAATGAGCTACCACTATGGCAGCCACTCTGTACACTATAAGAGGTATTTGTATGCAATCGAACGTTGGAGCGTCAGTCAGAGCCGCCAGTGACGATGACAGCGAGTGTGGAACCCCTTTTTTTCTGCGTGTAAGAGTCACGAGCACGTGATCTAATTATGAGCTCGCAGCTGACGAATAATCCCTCGCAGGCTATCTGAATGGATCAAGTCAGCAGAGTGAGATCCTTGCTATGAAGGAAGGAGGGAAGTGGTTCGACGCTACATAATAAGGTAATAATGACACGGACGATGACATGGATGATCAATCATCTGCGGAGCATACATGCATGCCTCTGGCCGCGACACGTAGATATTCGCCAGGAACTGGCTCAAGCATAAATTCGCTTCAGTGCTGGCTAGTCTCGGATACGAAGGGGGAGCCAGCCATGCAAGTGTTGTAGAATGTCTTTCTGTTCTCAGTACCCTATGGTAGCGTGAAATTTTGGGAGGGGCACATTCCCGGTGTACCACCCCCCCCCCCGGCTATGCCATGAACTGGTGCCGCACGTGACTGGTGTAAATTATTTCAATGGTCTACACGACAGGGAAGTTGATTGATTGATATGTGGGGTCTAACGTCCCAAAACCACTACGACAGGGAAGTGAATGGATATTACCGGGTAATGTTGGCTTTTTTGCATTCACCTATCTTCTTTGCATTAATTTGATATCAAGGCCTTGCGTTGCTTCCCACTTGTCTTGAAACTAAGATATCCATTTGTCAAGTTATATGTTTGCAGATTTTCTTATTGAAGAAATCACTTTGATCAACTGTGAAACTCATCCATAACTACCTTTTGAAATCTTTGGACTGGTTCATTCGTGTCCTGTATTTCTAGTGGGCTTGAATCCGGGACACAGTGACACAGCCATAACAAATGGTGCGCATCGGCTGCCGACGAAAAACGCATTTTTAAGCGGTATTTTGTGGCACGATGCCCAAGCCAGCTCCAATCTCTGCATTGGCTATGCCTCGGGTGAGGACTCCGAAGCTTCGACAGACAGCAGTGTTTCGAGCTATACTAAGTCGTGCCCATTGGCAGCACAAGACATCATTCAAAAAGAGGTGATGCGTGAATTACACCCTGAATAAAACAGCCACGAAACAGCCCCTTCTGATCGTGACCTGTCTCACCTTCAGCCGGAAAGAACTATGTTTTCTTAAATCACCAAAGCATAGCGTACAGTGTTTCCATGAAAACACCCAAATCATGTACACATACCATCGTCACATAGTGAATTTAGCATGCGTTTATGACCGTTAGTGACTTAAGTATTCTGCTAAAAGGGGAAACGGTCGTCTTACGAACTCACTAGCTTGTCAGATCTTCAATCATCACGTCTTTAAAAATAATAAACTTCACATGCTTTCACACATGCGTAGGATTTATTGGTAGTGGTGTTTAGATATTGCGAAGTTGGTAGTCATGTATTATATACCATGAATCCAGGAATGGGATACAGCTCTTTAATACTAAGCCTCTATGTTATAGCTAGCCTCAACCGTGCTTGTTTTGTGCATCCAGCGCTATTCTGAATAGGCGTACTAGAATGCATGGATGATAACACGTGCATTAAGCCCAACGTATCATTACAAACTCAACACGCGTGCGGTAACCCTTCATCATCATCATCATAATCATCATCATCATCGTCGTCGTTGTCGTGACTACGTCCACTGCAGGGCAAAGACCTCTCCCATGACCCGCCAATCAACCCGGTCTCGTGCTTTCTGCTGCCACGTTAAAACTGCGAACTTTTTAATGACATCGGCCCACCTAGATTTCTGTCTCCCCTTCGTGCATTTGCCTTCTGTGGTAATCCAGTCAGTTACCCTTAATGATCAGCGGTTATCCTGCCTACGTGCTACGCGCCCGGCCCATGACCATTTTTTCTTCTTGCGCCCTGCATTGGGAAGAGTTAGGGATAAGAGGTAAAAAGTATCCTAGTAGCCTGTGATTAGCCGATGGCATTGCCTTGATGAGTACCTCAGGGGATGAATCACAGTTCATGATTACTGAACTATACACAGAAAGCAGAAGAGTAGGTCTGAAGATTAATATGCATAAAACTACAGTAATGTGCAATAGTCTCGGCAGAAAACAGCGCTTCGCGATAGGTGGAGAGACGCTAAAAGTTGTAAAGTGATATGTCAACTTTGGACAAGTAGTAACCGCGGGGCTGAACCACGAGAGTGAAATAATTAGAAGAATAAGGATGGGGTGGATCACATTCGGCAAGCACTCTCAAATCTTGAAT